AGTTTACCATAATGTTATAACTTTCATTGTTTACTTGTTTAAATCATTAACGGTTCTATCTTTAAGATTCCCGATTGGATTCGAGTTAAATATTTATTTATATAAGTTTAATGCATACAGTACAATACTTAATAGCACATTTGGTGCCCTTAACACAGTATCAATAATGTATCAATAATGTATTAAGAAAACAGGTGAACCCGTTGCGTAGTTTTAAAATTTAAGCTAACTGTGTCATATCCTATTTCGTCCGTTACAGCTCTGTTTTTACTTTGCACAAAGCACGCATTATTGGGTCAACAAGTCACATAAAATTCTATAACCAATAAAATTTTGTGCGCAATGTATGTGAAAGTGATAATGAATTATGTAAAATAGCATTATAGCATTGTATACAGTACATAGTTTATCTAAAATGCAGACAAACTATTGTTACATATACATACATAAAGATGCGAAACATAACCCCCTTTTACATTCCAAGTAGAGCAATAAACAACAACAGTCTAGTACTGTAGGACCATTGAAACGACTAAATGGATCGTAAAGTTAAACTTACAAATCTATGCGTTAAGGTTTCTGCACACTATATCTAAGAATCATTTTAGACTTTTTACGATATTTTTCATTTACGATATTGGAGAATGATAGGTTTAATTAAAAAAGTTGAATTTGTAGACTACAAACTCAAATTTAATCTCAGATCACGTAATTGCAGTCGTTTCGTCGATATAATTATTATATTTAATAAAACAACACACATAAAACAATGATATGATTTTGTTACCCAATCCACATGATGTATTAAAATCTATTTTTCTTATTATCTTATTTGTATCACATCAGTCAATCGCGAAATACCTTCTTTTATAAACTATGTTTCGGTTGGAGGGTGAGATATGACAGTGAAATTACAGGGTACAGGGGCATAAAAAGTGTTACTTCTCTGGAATGAGAACGCTAATGTGATATCCGTGGAGCTGTTCACGTCGGCTGTCACTCAACAACAAGAACAATCTATTTCAGAATATTTCCGTACACTGTGTCACAGTTCCCCTGTGTGTTGGCTCCTTTACTGTCTAGTATTACTTTTCCAGACCGAATGTGCATCAGTAGATGTTACTGTATGATACAGAAAGCTGTAAGCTATAAATACAGACTATAACATCGGCGATACGAATCGGAAGTATTAGGATTGTGCACACAATTTGCTGCGTGCTACTCGTAGCTATAGAAAGTATCATTTTTAATTTTTTCGTTCTGAAATTACAGGTTATAGTGATTTATCCAGCTTAGCCAGATTTATTATTTATATTAATGCAGCCCATGAAAGTGTTCGTTTTTGACTCAGCTTAATTCAGTGGAATTATTATCAATAGTTTTAGTATTCATTAGCTTTTTTAAAAAGTTACTTTCCAGATCATTATAAATGCGTGGAATAATTGAAATAGAATGTCTATGACGCTTATAGAACGAGTTAATTTACAAGTCTGAAACTGATCCCATAATAAAATTATTCTAAACAAAAAATACATTTTTTTTAATACTGTACCTTTAATTATTCAAAGAACTATACTGCATACTAACTGAATTCTGATATGAATGTAATATATGTGAATAAAGGAATGTTTTTATTGTAATCTTTCGATAAGGCATTTAGTGATTTTCTTGACAAAAATGTACTTGTTTACTACGGGTTTTGATGGTCCAACCTTTTTTAGTTGAAAAATTATCGTATTCTTTAAGAATAAAAACTTCCAAATACATATGATTTATATTTAACAGACAGACTTAAGTAAACTGCTTATTTATAGCATAGTATCGCATCATATTGACTGTGTACTGAAAGTTAACCTCGTAACACACCGTGGCGTAACAATGACTACCGAATGTATAAATTCACGCATAATTGTAGCGAGTAAAGTGTGAGAATCAATTTGTGATCATGGTGTAAGTTACAAAATGTAGAGATTTGTATGTTAATTCATTTATGAGATCAAATATGTTTATACATTTTAAACTAAGTATTATATAATATACAGATCTTTTTTTAAAGTTTTACAGTTTATGTATTTCTTTTACAGTTATATTATTATAACATTTTAGTTGCTATTTTGTAGTATGTATTCACACAAAATTCTTACAATTTAATTCTAAATAAGATTTCTTTAAAAGTTTCTTGCTCATTCTTCTCGTGATGAATCTGCGTTCCGAATGAGTGGTAGAATAAAAAAATATGTTTATTCAAAAGTGCATTATATTAAGTTTATTTGAATAAAGATTATTTCTCTTTAGTGCTATGTTTGATGCCGCTTATTCTACACTATTTTTTTAGCACTTAAATATTACGTGAAAATCGTATGAGAGGTGACACTCATAGTTACAATTTCTTTATAAAATTGACCATGAGTTTGTCAATAAGTAAGGTGTATAAGGTAATGTAATATTTAATCATACAGGTAATGCTTTAAATTAGTTTAACAAAATGCTACAGACATGGCTTCCGATTGAAATACCCAACACCCTTTTATTGACTCGGCCAGCGAACATTGATGAATATCCGGGATATTTACTTCGATACTCGATCGCTTATAAATTTATACCATACCCCAATTCCAATCAGTAGTACCAATCATGCCAGTTAAGAGTTTACGTGCTCTGTTACAGGACTCTGAATGTGGCCATGAAATAAGCGATTGGCGATTGTATCGCAAATTGAGGGTATTACGTCTCACGAACTGGTTCGATTGTTATTTTATACTAATCGCCAACTATTTGGGATATAAAACGCGTAATACCGTCATCTGTATATATTAAAATTAAGTGTTGTAAATGGATCGAACGTTTTGGCAATTTTTATTAAATGTTTGGTGTAGATAAAAATATTACTAAATAAAAATACGATTATATTTTTTCATTTGCTTTCATTCACTTTAATGGAGTCTCGTATTTCCTCTAAACTAACTGTGCTACTCTACATCTCGGACGTATTTTAATTCTGTCCATGGCGTTTTTTCGTACAAGTTTTTTAAAACTAATCTAGTGAATTAAATAATAAGTATAAAGTAACTGAAAATCTGTTGTTTTGTTACTTAAGCAAACTATAAAAAAGTACATAGGTACTTTTTCATAGCCTTTATGTTGTTCTGATGTAGAAGCTATATTACTGTAAAGTTTCATCAAAATCCGAAAAATGCTATCCCCAGTTTAGATGAGCTTGTGTTCTGGGTACTTGAAAACTATATACTTCTATACTTTTTTCGTATATACGTACATAATATACACATACAAAACACCCAAACAATCATATTCATGAATAAAATGTTTGTACTGTTCGAGAATCGAACTCGCGACCATTGGAGGTAAAGCGTTGTGCTTAACAGCTAGACCACCGAGACTGCAATTAATCAAAATTTATACAGTATCCGCTCAGTTTCTCACAGCAAGTTCTATCGCTTATCTAATGGCATGGCAAACTATTTCTACACCTATAAACTATAGCTGGGACAATTAAGATTATCCATCTATTGGTTACAATATATTCAGAGGGAAAGTCTGTAACCTATCCTATACATCTAACTATACCTTTGTACCATACATATATATGTAGGATGAGCTTCCAGGAAGAGTTTGGTTGGCTATTCCAGTTGTATCGGCTCTATACGCACAATGGACCAAATGAGAGGCTAAACGCGGAAATAGAGTACAATACGGTACGATACGATATATGTACGTGAAAAAGTAAATTGTGTCTTATCACTTCGTCCTAATTTATGTTATATATCTACCTAATTAATAAAATTATTAGACTATGACCTAATATTATTGAGAGGTCCGTTGCTGCTATGAGGAAGTTTGGATGAAATAGAAATAGAGATACTGAGCCACAAACTTGCATATTGTTCTTTTAAACCAATGTTTTACTACATATTAAAGTCAAAATTTATGTACGATACAATAGCACCAATTCATAAATATTTCTTACTTTTTTAGGTGCCGGTATATTTGGTATCAGATATGTTGAAGTGTAAAACAATTATATAATGGTACAATAATGTCAAATATGTGAAGAAGCAGCATAGGACATATTAATAACGACATAAGTTTTTAAATAATAATAAATTTATAAAGTAAATAGAATAAAATAACAGGAACCCAAAATTAAACAACGTTACGTGCTTGCCCGTATTTGTCAATTCCTCAGGTGATCACATAGGAACGTAAAATACTAGGTAATTGGATAATTTACAGACGTATATGGTAAAGTTGTGCTTTTGCTAACACCGACGCCTTTGTCTCTTTCACACCTCCATCAGTCGACGGGGACAGAAACAGTGATGTTTAGTGTTTTATATTGTGTTGTATAAGGAAGCTAATAGGGTGCGGTAATTGGGAGCCAATACTTTTTACATAACTCGAAATGTTTGTAATTCTCTCTGAGGAATTTAAGAGTGTACGGTTTCCGCGTGTCTGCATGAGAAAAGATGTTTACTCGATGAAGAATGGATGATGCATGAAATATATATAAAGACTAGCTGTTGTCCCACAACTTTACTTGCGTAAATTTGCAACCCTTGTTTTGAATGGGGGTGTACCTCCATTCAAACTGAATTATAAAGTTATAAGATGACGTATACTCATAAACAGTCCATCATTATGCGAAATTCTTTTAAGAAAGGTTCATCTGTTCTGTGTTTGTTTTTCCTATTTATTCAAATTCAAAAATCATTTATTCGTGTAGGATTTTAGCCGCTTATAAACGTATTTTTTTATAATATAATTTATCCCTACCGTCTAGTTCAGCATATAGATCTAAGATTAAAACTGGGAAACCATATGAATATACATAAAAATAATATGATTTTTTGTGTGTGTTTAATTATATGTATGTGAAAATATAATTAAACACACATTTGTAACATACATTTTCGATTTTATAATATTAGTGTAGATGACTAAATTAAAATATTTTATTGAACACTTCTCTTAATGTTTTTCAGGCACAATTCCCACCTCATCAAAGCTGAACAAAGAAGCTGAATGTACGTCTACGCAATTGTTATTCGCGTAAGTAATATTTATATCCAACTAATCTTTACAATTTTCGAATCCTCGCACTATACAAACATTTGTATTCATGATTGTATCGGTCTGGGTGTTTTTTATGTATATAATATATTTACAAATAAAGTATCTGTTTATGTATATCAGTTGTCTAGTACTCATAACACAAGCTCTGCTAAGCTTGATAGCATTAAACTAACTAGACTAAACTAGATGACATTGTGTAAATTGTTCAGGGTTATTATTATTATAATTTTTTTTTTTTTATAATTGGTAATAATTATTGTTAAAATATTTCATCCTATTTTATGGCACTAATAAAATTAAAATGTTGTGTCTTATAAAAAGTCACCTTGTACAGTCCAGTTGAATCACTCGTTGAATAATTGAAAAGAGATGAAAAGGCTTAGGAAGGGCTTTATCCTATTTTATGTGACTAAGAAATTACAATGAACCTTCTAAAAAGTCACACTGGACTGTAGCACTCTTGAGATAAGAGATATGTAACTATTCATTTTGTTTTCATTTCAGGTCAAGTCATCCGGTGCCGAAAATAAAAATGGGACCTGACCTCCGCAGCGCCAGGAAACCAAAACAGCTTATGCAAAAGTAAATATTATTATATTAATTTATTAAGGGTCGGCATCACGCATGTGACACCCCTAGTGTTGCAGGCGTATATAGGCTACGGTAACAGTTTGCCATCAGATGGGCCGTATGCTTAATTGCCACCATGGTAGTGTAAAAAAATGTACCTATTAACATGTTTTTTTAAATATCACTATTAAAACTGCAATGCTAGTAGTAGTTAAAGTAACGTATATAATATTTTTAACTATCGTCCAAACCACAGTAGTTGCTGTAAGAACTTATAAGACGTATAGATATATAGTGTGTGATTTTAAAATAATAATCGATCGTGTTATACTAACATCCCATCAAAAACATAAATGTGAAATGATAGCCGAGTTTAATATTATGATATATGCCTTGATTGTTGACTTCTACGACAAAAGAGATGAGATCTAAATGGGTGCCAAGTTCAATGGTCTATCCTGAAATGTATTTATAACAATATAAAATATCATTTCTTCTTATAACTTAGGATAATATACTGTAGCCTAAGTTCTAACTTGGCCAGTTCTCATATACCAATTATTACTTTCGATTGCTAGTTACTACTAATATTAAAATAGGAACCGACAAGTAACATGTTTAGAACTTGCGAAGGCTACAGTATATTTCGTATTTTTTCCTTTATATTCACCTAATTACCTATCTGCATGCCAAATTTGAACTTCCTAGGTCATCTGGAAGTGGGTTATAATTTTGATCTATAGTTGATCAGTGATAAAAATGACGATTTTTGGACATTAATATCTAATTAACAGTTTGAGATATGTTTATGAAATTTGGAACACGTATTTATCTCGCAAGTCTCAATATATGAACCAAATTTGACAGGTTTGTGTGAAAGAGTTTTTGAGTTATGAGGGGGCCAAAAGTGGCTCCAAATGGTTCGTGTAAATATACACACGGTGCTGCTTGCCAGTTTACTTGAAACTCGGCTTGACACGCTACCGCGTGTCTAGATCCTGCAGATCAAAAATGGTAGGATTTCGTTTATTTATCATTGTAAATAAAACACAAAAGGTAAATGGCGCAATAGTTGTTCATGCAATGTTCAAAATCTGGCTTTAATAAAATAGAAATTAAGTTAAATTGCCAGTTGTTCTCAACTTAATTTATAGATTCAAGGGAACTGGTAAGGTAGGGACGGAAATATTAGTACTAAAATCGTAACTAAAATTATAATTTTTTTTTAAACTGTATTGGCATTAATAAATTCCTTCAATAAAACTTTTTTCTAGACTTAAACAACCAACACAAGAACAGCCGACTCCTCAATCGCCACACGAGTTAACCCAGAAGCAGTTCCTATCACCGCTCATACCGTTCTCCGTACCGCACAAACCATCAGAGGCCGAGTTGAAGAGCTTCCTCCTGAACACGGCGCTACAGAACGCCCTAAACGGATCGCTAAGCCAACTAACACAACGGAAAACGTTCACGAAGACTGCTGAGAATGAAAACATAGAAGTTAACAATGAGCAGAGTCGACGTCGACTTCATAAATGCGATGTGGCGGGATGCCATAAAGTTTATACCAAGAGTTCGCATTTAAAGGCGCATAAACGAACACACACAGGTATGTGTTATTAATACTAAACTAGGTTACGCCTCAGCTTCCTACGAGTGTACATGTATTCTACATATAAAGCTTCCTCTAGAATCACTCGTATCTATTGCTAAAAACTACATTAAAATCCGTTCAGTAGCTTAAAAGATCTAAGCGAATAGATGGCGGAAGCGACTTAATTTTATACTATATAAAGATTTACCAGAGAACTTTCTAAGAAGTCGTTTAGGGGTACACTGAAAAAAGTCGTCTGCTTGGGTAGGTTATCTATTCTATCCTATCTTATCTTAGTTACACCTGTTTTACCTGCAAAGCTATTCGTTTTGTAAAGTATTTCGGTTATGGGGCGCGATTAGGTTGTGAAAATAAGAATAGTCCTCTGGAATGCTAACACATAACAGATATTACTGTGTCGCATATAGCAGGATGTCCGTAGTGGTGTTCATGTATATAGAAGTCGATTATCGTTTACCATCATACCATCAAGTGGCCCGTTACTTTGTTTCTCATCGTAATTCTTTAAGAAAAACTTCAATTTCACCTATTTATTTCAATAAGCAACATTATTAACTGTTTTCTGGTTTGAAGGGTGCATATGTATGACATATGTGAAGGGTATATATGTATGTATATATGTGTACAGTGGAATTACAGGGTATGAATGTATGAAATCCTAGATTGGCAATGCATGAGGTGAAGATGAATATCACTATATCTCTGTGTTGCCTCTCGTATAAAGGCGACAGTTATCATATTCCATTACAATCTGTTTCCATTCGACTTCAGGCGAGAAGCCCTATTCGTGCGCGTGGGCTGGCTGCGAGTGGCGTTTCGCCCGCTCGGATGAGCTGACTCGCCACACTCGCAAACACACCGGCCATCGACCATTCACGTGCCCGCTGTGTCGGAGATCCTTCGCCAGGTCTGATCACCTCGGGTTACACATGAGAAGACATTGATATTTTTTTATTGATAATGAATTGGTGGCCCACCCGCTCTAACGGTTTACGCTGGCGGGGCACCAGTGGAAGATGATAAGAACAGTATGAGGTCAGATAAAATATGTCGAATTCCTGGTGAATTTGTCATGATGGTTTATATATTATTTACAGAATTTATTTATTATGATCATACTGTAAATCTGTTGCAGATTTCACAATGTTTGTCTTTTTCTCATCTTTTTTATAAATTTTACACATGTGATTCACCATTGCCTTACCTTTATCACATTATTTAGGGTCTATGTAGTATGTCATCTTATTCAACCCGTCTTTAACAGTTTTCATGTTTGGGCTTACTCTCTTTTTATGCATATCATCTTTCATAGACTCCATCCATCTCAGTGTTCCCATCCTCTCGCATCCGTCTACTTTCAATTAATCCATGAATACACTTTACACATGTGTATATTATATATAAGTTTAAGTATATACATTATTCGTTGTGTTAACATTACTGGAACTCGAATCTCTTCGTGACATTATGGGTCATCTTATGAATTTAAAGTTTTTACTGTAATTATTATATTAATCTATTCAAGATTATTGTCTTGGATCTAAAGTATCTCTATTATAATTAACATTGAATAACATTGAATGGTGCTGTATATATACATATACTATCGTGGAACTCGCTTACAACTGAATCTCTAGTATTTAGTTCAGTATCTCTCTTGTGACTTTAGTGAAGAGGCCAGTATTTTACAATACATTTGTTTTAAAATAATTATAATAAAATTAATTTAAATTTAGTCATGTGACACTATTGATACATGTATGACCAGTATTTATAGTCTATTCCACGTAATATAGCTATCAGTTTTGACAACTTCAAGGCTAGTTATTCTTTGTGATGCTCTTCACAATTACTCTTCCACATCGTGGAATGACCTTCCAGCAATGGTATTTCCGAACCGAAAAAAGAGCTTAGAAGGCCGATGATACACTTGCGATTAACCTGGTGTTGCGAGTACTCATGGGGGGCCGCTGTAATCACATACCATCAGGTGAGCCGCAAGCTCATTTGTCCCTGTGCTGTAAAAAAGTCTCTCTGACAAATCAGTGGTATTTTTATTACTTCCCACAACACTGCTTTTGTGGCATTACGTTAACTTAAGGGCCAGTACATATATACATTTATTAATATAATTATTCATAAGCTTGTCTTCAAATGTATAATTAAAATAAGTCGTATTATATGACTCTTATTTTTAAGATGTTAGAAAATGTTGAAATGAAAATATATAATTTATAATGTACTTAATATATTATTACATAAAGTTTATTTTAATAGTACTTTAATTATTTACTAATTAGAACAATAAGGGTTGCCAGCGTCATAAATATTTATGAAATGTAGAGATCTATCAATCAGGTAGATCGTGCCTTCATGATCTTTACATGTGGAATTAGAAAGCTATAATAAGGAGCATAGGGTTCATAAAAGGGCATTATTTTGATTATAAAATACCTTAGCCAACAGAAACTAATGCTTTGATGTTTTTGCTGAATGCAGGATTAAAAGAGTTGATACAAAAGGCACACGAGTATATATATCATATACATATATATGTATAACTGTATACGCAAATAATTTTGGAATAATTCAGAAATCAAAATAGATGTATTGTATAATTTATTATATTTAAAAATTACTAAATAAACCCGTTAGTAATTAAAAGACTAGAATAGCCTTGCGGTCGAGAGAGAACGTTGGTATTTATTTACTTAAATGATACAGTATTACATTTGTATACTGTATATTTGTTTCACTGTGAAAAGAGTTAAATTGGCACAAACATTTTTATTTAGATTTAAAACAAAAGAAAGAATTTTAAACACATTTTTAAGTTTTCCTTTCGTAAGACATGATTTATTAAACTTAAATATGATAATATTATAAAATAATTAGACTGGACTTCGTTAATTAAAATCAGTTTAACTATAAACAGTTGCTGATTTTTAATTAATGTATTGTGTGCTTTTTTTAGCCTTTTTGTATGAATTAGACGTTAAATGTCAAAGTGTAGGGACTTTTTATGATTTAAGAAATTTGTAATGTGTTCATAAAAAGGTACGTTGACAATTACATATACTGTTATGGTTAAGTAATATACTATTAATATATTTATAAAAACAAAATAGTATATTAGTTAATTAATATACTATTTTGTTTTAGATATTGTTATATTTATAGTATTTTTTTGGATAGTAAACTAATATAAAAGAGTTGTGTAGTTATATGGTTTATGTTTAATATATATATAAATATAGAGATGCTCAAAAATTAATGTTCCACAATTAATAAATCTTTGACAATTATACAGGGCAATTGCGGCAATATTAGTATAAAAATGTGATTTCCTATTAAAAAAAATCTATATTATCATAATTGTAGGCTCTATTGTCTAGATCTATTGTTTTGTTTCAAATGTTTATAAAATATTAAGTAGTTGGGAAGATTTTATTATTATTATTACTATACACATATATTATATAAGTTATATTAATTTTAGACTGTACTTAAACTGAATATTTGGGGCCAGTATTTTTGAAATTACGTAGTTTAAATAGAACTAATTGCTTATTATAAGGGAAATAATAATTGTCAAAACTAATAGAAACTTGAAATTGTGTTTTACTGTAAAAAGATATTTCAGTAAAAAAATATGTAGTTAATTTATTATTGATCTCAGATTGGTTATTCCTTCTTAATTGCGTGTTTAATTTGTGAGTTATGATCTCAAATGAATTTAAAATACTACTATACTATACTATAGTACTGTTATATTATTACGATAAAGTGAACACTTATAAATTGATAAACGAATGACATTAATAAAATATAATATTAAAAAAAATGTACAAAGAAGTATATTTTGATTTTCATAATTGTCACATGCCAAGCAAAATTAGTACTTATTTAAACATCTTATAATAAATAGTATAGTTAAGTAAATAAAATTAATTACTTATCGAGCATTTCACCGGCCAGTAAAAGAAAATGCAATTTTTTCCTATTTTTTTACTTTTATAGATTGTGTTTAAGTTTTAGATTAATATAAGATTTTTTTTGTAAGGTGTTTGATAATAAAAAAAATATATATTATATATATAATGTCCTATTTAAATTATAACACACAGGCTATAAATAAGTGTGGTAGCAAAGAATGTGATTTTACTTAATTACAAAATAATATATTATAATTATTATGTTTTTATGTGCAACATTATGGTGCTGGTCAAAAGGTACTTAAAACTATATACTTAATGACTAAGTTTATATCTTTGTAATTAATTAGAAAACGTCTTCCATAAATTAGAGAAAAGAATTTTAATATAATTAGAACCTTTAAAGTTAGCATAGGGATGCTAAACATATCTGATATTAATGTATTATTAAATTTAGAACACAATTAAAATCGCAGCGGAAGTAAATACTACTACAAAAGTACGCAGACTACAGGGCTCGAAAAGAAAAGTAAAAGAACTACCTAAAAAAATATTTATAAATAGAGTTTAATGCTAACGCATAAAGCAAGAATAATTTCTTCTTGTGTTAAAGTTTTAAAATTATATTTAATGCTTACGTACATTTTAAAATTATCTTCAATACGTTGCATTGAAGTCAATTTTAAAACTTTAAAGCAAGAAGAAGATTGCGTTAGCATTAAACTCTTTAATCTGTTTTAGTGTCCAAAACCATAATTTAAACCTAAATTTAAACAGTAATCATACATTCACAATCGCGACACACAGAAATAAGAACTTAATTTACAACATAATAACAATGCTTAACACAATATAATCCAAAAACCAAAACAAACAATACCTACTACTACCATGAAATAATGAAATAATAAAAAATGTATAAAAACACAAAGATAAATTTATAAAAGTATACATAAATGCATAACATATACAATTATACATGCTCAAAAAATTACTAATTTTTGGTGTTCACAGAAGAGTTGTGTGCTCAACATATTGCTGCAGCGTTTGTAGTGTTTTTAGCTCGTCACCTGTGCTCAAAGAAAATTGTTTAAAGTTGACGTAAAATTCATACGTTACCAGTCAGTGCCTTAAATATTTTTTTAGAAATCTAAAGGCTATATACAATATAAGCTGAAAATTCAGTTTTCAAATCTAAATGTCAGATTTTTATATCAAAGCTTTAAACTCTCCATGATGTTTTTGTCTCCTCAACTTCGTGTGTGGTGCTCCCTAATTTCTAGCTAGTGTCATTTAAGAATCGTTCAAGGCATAGATAAGATGTTCTTGAAATTCGAATAATGCAGGAAAGAAAATAATTATACTGCTAGTGACATTTCTGTACCTCTATAACTCTATACTCTCATATGTCGCCACGCAGACACTCGCCGCAGGTGTTTATGTGTAACCTGAAAATTCATAAATTATGCATGTAACTGTATTATTATTATTATATAAATTGTTTATAGTCACGTATGTACCTACCTATGTTTCGTGTTTTATAAAAATAAATTCATATATACAAAAGTTGTTTTACTAAATATTACAGTTCTTAGAAATCAAATATTCGCAGATTCATTTAAGAACTAATAACCTAATTTATATATCATCATATCATATATGTGAAATGGACGGCAATGGATGCAACTAGAAAATACGTATGAATTAGTAACCTGTATATTAATTAAATATTAATGTATACATCAACTAGTAATTATGTATATTGAAAATAGAAGTAACTTCTTACTGTTGCGATGAGCTTGGTTGATAAACTAACACTAAGTTTTGTATTAGATTACCAAACAAGTGGTATTTATAAAATTTACACAGGTTACTTAAACTAGTTACATTTACAAGCATTACACAAATGTATCTAGTTTAAGATTATATATATTATTATAGTATACTTCTTGGTCTCTATATAATAAAATACATTTTATGACTTCATAAATGTCACAATAAATATCAATATATTTTTATTATTTTTCACTGTCAAAAAAAAATGTAAATTCTGTTAACATCTTAAAAAATGTAAATCATAGAAAAAACATCATACCCACAATGGCGTTAGTAATATTAATTACTTATAGTAATTTATTCGTATTGACCCTATACAAGTGAAGTAATTCTAGTACATATATATATATATATATATATACGTCAAATTTATCGTTTGGTTTGGATAAAGTTGCATTATTAATCTATAGTTTTACCACAGATTTTCAGTGATTAACAAACCTTATGAGGTTTATTTTCATATTAGAGACAGTGGTAGATCGCTACTTGCAATATTGGTTCAAATATATCGAGGGAAATGTAAGATTGTCAAGTGTAGCATTGATTACGACATCGGTTGTTAATACCATACATGATAATAGTCGTGAAGAGTGTGAACAATATTTAACAATATACATATTTTCTTGTGTATCAGTTGCGAGGTGTGCCAACATTGCCAGGAAGCCTTATCTCCAGCGGAGGACTACGCTATTCAAGATGGATTTAGTTACCATAACAAATGTCACAAATGCTGTTAGTAGAGATGTTTTTTTGTGTAACTGGAATATATAAACATATATGATTTTTATGAAACAGTGCCGTATGTCTGTGGTATTAAATTCTAAATATCTTTCTTTATGTAGGTCTATTACAGACTTTTATGTTATATCAAATCTACCGTCAGTTCTGAGTGCTTTCGAGCTAAGAAGAACTGACAAGAATCTCAGCTCTTAATATTTTCAAATGGACTGGTGCACGTTTACAACAATACATATTTTTTGATTTCAAATTGAAGAGAATATGCTATTGTAATTTTGTCAAAAGGAAATAGTCTAATCAGTATCCGTATGATGGCGAAGCATTACTTGAGGTGATGGACAGGATCAGCATAGAGTCACGTTAGTTCACTCCTTGTGGAAAATTCATCACGAATGAAATACGATTTATTCCAGAAAGGTCTGCGTAAAGACCGACCTGTCAAAACCATCCTCTCCCCTATACCGGATATTTACAAAAATCATGAGAATAGTAAATATTTATAAATTTCCTATATACAAGGTGTTACATTTACAGTGCACATCCCTATAGAAAAGTGCTAAAGAGCACAAATTACACGCGTCGAGTCATGAACGAAGCCGCAATGTCACAATTTCAATAGATTTAAATATTGTTAATTTTATAGTTCGACACCTGTAGTTTTCGTTACGATATTTGATACAGATTCGTTCTAGCATCGAACGGTGTCGTATATATTCTAGTTATAGGTAGAGTTAGTTACTAAAAATGTAGGATTCTATTAAGAAATTAAAATGTAAGTTAAAAATCGTTTAGATATATTTTTATACCTATTGCGACTACCGTAATTCGCGAGCTCAAAAGATACCTAGCAGTATGCCTACCAGTAAAAATGTAAGACCTTCTGAGCACTTCTTTTTTCGACTTAAGTGCAACCATGTAGAACAAGGTTTAATGCAACTGAATTTATTAGATAAGCACACAATAGGTCAATAATTTCCATTTTAATTTATACTGATTTATGTATATTACGGGATTATCTATTCGATTATTCCGAATAGATGTAATCATGTATTCAATTGGCAAGCGTTGTTCTTCTCATTCTACCTACTTTATTTTCACGCCAAGTTTCTTTAGGGGTAGGTCTACTGGTATGATTAGGATTAAATAGATACTATTTCAACTGATTACAAAAAAAATACACCTTATTTCAAATTAATTACAGGAAAGTAAATAACATAGATAATATATTATACTGTAAATAATAAGAAATTACATATTACATGTGTATTAAGGTAAGGTATAAATTAATTTAACACCAATTAAGGTTTCTTCTATGTTGGCCTGAATTTTAGATGGTGGCGGGTTCGATTCTCGCACAATTTTGCACCGACATTTTGTCATTTTCATGACTTTCATGTAAATTTCATGAGTATAATTATTTGTATTAGTTTAGAAAAGAACCATATCTTAACCATATCTGTGTGTCTATCTATGGCAACTTTCCTCCTAAACGATTGGACCAATTATGATGAGGTTTTGATTTGAATGTTGACGTCATCATAATGAGTCATAGCAACTATTTATTAAATTTATTTTAAATTCGAGGGTTACTTATATTTTATATACATTATTTATATATTGAGATAGAAGTACATGAATGTAATAATGTACAAAACATTTTGCAGGACACTATGCAGGCTGAATACACTGGACATAATATTCAATATTGTAAAACCTATATGCAGTGTATTATGCAAATACATGATTTGTTTTTTTTTATATTTTGTATGAAACCATACTAATGTAGAATACTTATAATTGTCTATCTTAGATGTATGCAGTGAGACGAATCTAATAAACGCGGAGTTGTTCAAAGGGGTCATATTTTGTTCAAGTTGCTCAAAGCGGATCTTCCAGGGTTGCGCTACGGCACGCCGGACGAAGAGCGGGGGCAGAGGAAAGTCCAGAACGAGAAGTAAAAGACGAGAGAGGGTTAGAGTACAGGTGGACTGTTACTGATTAATTAAATGGAAAACAATTTATAATTTTACCACAGATTTGTTTTTATTGAATAATAATGGAATGGTGCACCCGCCTACGATAACGGTTTACACTAGCGGACCCAGCGGTCACCGGTGAAGGATGATAATATGTGACAAATTCACTAGGAGTTTATCGCGATGGTTTCCCGGGGGGAACTGCGCAGAGGTCCACATGACTGATACATCAGTATAGTAATGATCAGTCCACATTACTAACAATCCCCTTTCACCCACTATAAACTAATTATACTTTCTGTTTAATATGATATGTTGCATGTTATGAAGTCAGATCAATTAGCCTATCGCGGCGAGTCCGCCATAAATTTACAAGGTTCTTTTACAGGGGTGACCTATTGGGGGTGAGGAAGAGAGGGGGAGGGGGTTCAATCTAATACATTGCTAATAATGGGGCATAAATGTATTAAATTTTTATGTATCTAACGGCTAGCATGTAACAACTTATTAAGGATAGTCATACCCTGTTAGTTTTATTCTTCGTCTTATTGAATTCAGAATAAGGTTACAATTGTCTCATTTCAGGATAGGTATATAGAACAAACGAGAGGTCGCCCCACGAATAAAGTTCTAGAGCTAGCCAGATTAACAGCCTCGACTGACATCGACAGCAAAAGTAACTCGCAACACGAAACACATAATGAACCGTTGAAATTAAGGTAACAAATAATTACGCCCCTATGTCAATAAGTTTACACATACCTATTACCTTTTTTAAAACTTTATAGCTTGTATACCCAATGGGGTAGGGTATCTTACTTTATAAATAGAAATAGATAGGTATAAAGAAATAGAATAAAGAATTGTATTTTCGTGTTTATTTTTATTGATCTGGATGATCTCTATGTACTTACAAAAATATCATTATATAAATCAGTTTAGTCCGATGCCCAAAACTTTGCTTAGTTTACGACTTTATGATACTATGTTATGTGTCTAAAGCTATTTTATAAATAAATAACCCTGGATAAAAAACAGCGCCATCTAATCCTAAGCTTAGCGAAGTTTGTTTTATGGGTAGACAACTGATAAATGTAAATACTTAGATAGTTTTTGTTTGTCACATACATAAACACATTCACAAATTTCACATTCAGAAACACATAGGTACATAGATAACACCCAGACCGATACAAACAATCATACTCATGAATACAAAATATGTGTGCACTGTGAAAGGAATCGAATCCGCGGCCATCGGAAGTAAAGTGGTGTGCTAAACTGCTAGACCACCGAGGCCGTCGAGTTATTTTATTAATATTTATTTAATTTAATCCATATTCTTTTAGCAACACACCAGCAATAACCACAGATTTTGCATTACAAGTGGACAATCACCTACATGAGCATGTAAGTGATAATTTCTTAAAATGATAGATATAGGTAGTTATTGACTAAATTAAGGTTTAATATCGAGTACATCACAAATTTAATTTAATTTCTTATAGCTCTTTATTATCTATACATATATAAATAAAATTGGAGTGTCTGTTTGTAATATTGAAATAACCGTTTCTTACTACATGCATATGAATATAAATATGCTACATAAACCAAAATTTTTTTTTTTACAATTTTAGTCTGTTTGTCTGTCTGTCTGTTTGTTCCGGCTAATCTCTGAAATGGCTAGTAGCCTAAGTTACTCCTTAGTAGCTGATGTACTAAGAAGTAATTTAGGTTACTTTTATTTTAGAAAAATAAAGTTAAATTCCACGCGGACGAAGTCACGGGAACAGCTAGTACTCGTAATATTATTGAAAGCAGCAAATTACAGGATATGGAGGTACGATGCCTACGTCTTCCGGTATGTTAATGTAGACAACACATAATGTAAAGATCGTGATGCTATTCATGTATATTTCAATAGATTACTGCATAGATTACTCCTTAGCATCTGGTCAACCATCTGCATGTTTGCCATTTCAGTTAATAATGCAATAATCTTCATTAATTCAATACTAATTTTAAAGACTACGATTGCAATCGGTTTGCCTAATCTATAGGCCATACTAATATCGTATTTCTTTATGGAATAAAATATTTGTTACTTATGTTTTTATATGTAATATTTTCTTATCTGTGGTTTTTGTGTATAGGTACAGAATTGGACAAGTTTCAAGAAACACAGTACAGGTGAGTTTTCTTTCAATGAAAGGTTGTTAAGCGTTTTATTGATAATTGCTAAGTGATCCTGCAAAGGTTACGAGCGTTTATTTATCACATCATTCTAAGTTAACTTTATGTAAAAATTTATTTCAGAAATCGGACTTACGACAGACGTGACACAAGAGTTATTGAAGCAAATGAAATGTCCCATCGTCGAAGAATTTAAATATACGTAAGACTATATTATTAATTTATTGGCTCTCTTTTATATCCAAAAGGTTTGAGGTTGCAAAGTCAAGTGTCACATTAATTTTAGTGGCCTTATACAGAGTAATTTTTCATAAAAAAATTCAATATCAGTAAAATTAATTTTCAAGAAACTATACATATAGTAGGTACATGTTTATTTTCAGTGTAAAGCCACCACCAAACAAAACAGAGATAAAATACAAGGCACACAAACCCGTAAGTTCACTATTTAGTTGTACTTATAATGATAATAAATTTATTTTAAACCAGCTGTTATATTATAGTGTTATAGATATATCTACATTATTATTGTAGTATTATAGAAATATTATTTTAAATACATTCTTTTTATAAAAAACGCGTTTAACCTAGGAACTATAAATTAATTTAATAACTTACTGTTATATCTCATGCCAGCCCGGTGGCATACCTATTAGCTGTTAATCATGACTTTGTCAGTTCTTTTGGAGATAAAATTCAATTTCATCAGGACCCGTTCGGTCATTTAGTCATGAATGATAACAAACAAATAGACAATCATTGCATTTATTATAGTAACATGGCTCCATGTCAAGTTACAGCAGAATATTATCATCATAACTTATCCCATGTCAGTTCTGGAATATGACGAGACACCAAGACCATGACCTAATAAATTTTAAATACATAAACATTATTTTCAGAATAAAAAAGACTGCAGTGACTTAAGAATAGCAGGTAACACTGTTCCATTATATCCAGAATGTTCCATAATGCACTTCATCATATAACGATCATGAGGTCAACGCAAGTGGACATGCAAATAAATTTATAAATCAGACACCTGACAGACATGTATATACATAGACATATATATACATGTACATGTATATATATATATACGTCTATATATAGTATATGTGTTGTTATTATATATGTTGTTTTGCCATAAAAAAAATAGGGGTCAGTGATAGAAGGATGAAAATGTAGGGTTGTATTTATTTATTAATGACACAATAAAAAAATATATTTGGGGGTGGATATCCATTACCACTTAGGGGTGTGAAAAATAGATAGTAGCCGATTCTCAAACCTACTGAATATGCATATAAAATTTCATAAAAATCGATCAAGCCGTTTGGGAGGAGCATGGTAACTAACATAACACGAGAATTTTATATATAAGAAGATATAAGCAGTGCATTGCCAGTGCTAGTACGCTAATGGGTATTTTATATTATTTTTAGAGCTGGGAGCTTCAACAGAAATTGCTCATATGACTTTGAGGAAGCAGTCCGAAATACCGGTCCTCATAAAATCAGAGTGAGTAGGTAGTAGAACTATCGATATTTTTACAATAGTGTTCAAATCGACATAACTATCAAATTTATTGTTTATCTCTATTTCTGTGATAAAAACATTTTAATATATGGGTTAATAATGTCAGAGATTATCCTGCACATAAAACAAATTAATGAAATAAATAATCCTTCGTAATTTTAATACTTCGTAATATTCATAAAACACATAATTTTATTTTCAGGTCACCATCGCAGCATACAAAGTGCTTAAAACTGCCAGAGTTCAATCAAAAATCAGGTTATTACTCACTTATTCTAATCATTTATATATCTTCCAAATTTACTCATGTAAATACGAGGCTAAAGTTATTTAGACCGGTTTCGTGGTTGGTTACTGCTGAAATTATAACGACAGATCTAATTTCATGATCTTCTATCGTTTCCTTGCAGTCTCCCTCGATAAAAAATATAAAAATATTTGCTTTTCCAGACATGTCCGGAGATGTGAGCACTGACTGGCCGCAGTCTACTTATTCAGTACAATCAGCAATAAGCAATAAGATGTAAGCAGTTATTTATTACTTATTCAAATATATTGAAGTACTAAAATATTAATAAAATTATAAATATTAGGTTAAGGCATGCAAGAGTAGCATGTCGAAAGCGGTAGAGATTACATAATTATTTTGAGGTATTCCTGTCATGAATGTTTCTATCTGCAGTACACAATAATAATAATATCAGGATAATTCGCACATCGTCATCTAGAACCAAGTTAAGTCTAGCTACAGCTTGTGTTATGGATACTAGACAATTGATACAAATACATAAATACATAGATATATTTTATTCGTAAATACATATATATTATACACAGAAACCGGTCTGCTACTAGACCACAGAAGCCCTCAACAATGCTTATATTATGGCGCCTCTAATCATATGTAGATAGAAGGTATTTATTGCACTGTAGATCGCCATATACCAGAGATGCTAAGGAGCTCCGTAACGGTAACCGAAGCTATTGGATATCCGATATAAAAAAAATATTCGTAACCGTAACCGAATCCGAAATAAAAGTTTCGGATAATATCGGATAGGGACGGAGGCTAATTGAGACACGTTATGTAACCATTTTATTAGCTATTTGTATTTTACTTTTGAATTTCTTAAAAAAATATTATCCGTAACCGAAATTATCCGAAACTAACGGATAATCCGAAATAAGTTATTTTTTTCACAGACATTGTCTAGACAGACGGATAGCGAGCATCTTGAAAATACCATATAGGAGTTGTGAGTACCATAAATGCTTTTATACCATTGGAGTTTATTGGTATTGCTGTTTAGTTTTAATAAGTCTTAAACTTTACGTCATCAACAACCGAAGTTTTCCACTATTTTTCTTCTTTCTTCTTCAGCTGATTAAGGTTTACAAATCTGGTGGAAGAATCTTTATATTGCTTATATTATACTGCTTATACTGAGCTGAATTATGTAAAAACTATTTCTATTCTATATATATTTGCTTCTAAAAACTAATTTATGTTGATTGGTAGACGTATACGCATGCCCATACTAAGAAGTTACTTGTAACAAAAAAGCATTAAGATTAATAATAACAATATCTCAGGACAAATCACACAATATCATCTGGTCCCAAGTTAAGCAGAGCTTGTGTTATGGGTATTAAGATAACTGATGTAACTATATAGATATATTTTTGTTTATAATCACGTATGTAATATACATAGAAAACACACAAACCGATAGAAACAATCATAGGTACTTATACATGAATATAAATGTTAGTACCGAGCGGGGAATCAAACCCGTGACCTGTTCGTCAAATTATTTTATTAAGAAACAATTCGAAAACAAATTCCAAAATATCAACTAGTACGTAGAATAGACAAGATTAAGCAAAACAATGATACATAATTAATATAGAACCATCTACTTTCCAGTTAAAAGAAACATATTGAATCGTAGTTCCCTAATCACTATATTAATGAGCCATAGAGACGAGGAACAGTGAGTATATGTCTTATATATGGTATGTGTATCTATTTATCTACTAAACTCTATAAAACTGTAGTACATTACATTGCTCTATTGTCAATAATTTCCGCAGCAAGGAAGGAAAGGAATTTTTTGGTATTTTCTTCACGCGTTGGCTTAAGTTGTCGAAGTTTCATGAGAATTGTCTTTCCAATGTGGTGTACGTTTAGTAATGTTTTTGATCATACTCTATCCCTTAAGTTCATCAGGGATAATATAGTAATGGTAGAAGAATTTTTCAAATCGGTCCATTTGGTTCGGAGGCGATTAAACAATTAAACAGTCAAACCTTTTAGGATTTTCCATAGGATTTTGATGAAACTTTTAGCTTATGCATCAGAATAACACAGCCCACAATTTTAATGCGGAAGAAGCAGCGGGCACAGTTAGCTATATAATATGAATATTCCATTTTAATTGACAGAAAGTTAACACATATGTTTGCAATAAGGATTTTAATAAAATTTTCCAGCGTTTTAGTACACCATCTTAAAATGTTATTCAATGAAGAAGTAGCGGAACACCAACGTAAGTAGTTTCATAATATTACTAGCTTATACCCGAATATTCTTTTGATTTTTTCTCGAAATAAAAGAAAACCCATGCCCGTCCTCGTCCTCTTCTATATCAAATATTATATCTATTGTCTGTTTGGTCGTAAAAATGCAATAATCAGACACAACACACATTCACATTTATGGTCTTATAAATATATAAGTGAGTTATTGCGAAGAAAAATAAGACACGTTACATATTAATAATTCGTGTAATTCGAGTATTTGGTAGAGCACAAAAGGCTAACCCTTTTGTGCTCTCAAGAAGAATAGTAAAACAATGACTTAAAATAAAAAATATAGAAATAAAATGTGAAAATAGAATAAAAATATCAAAAGATAAAAATATAATAGAATAAAAATATCAAAGATATCAGATATAAGGCTGCTACATGAACCCTTTTCTTTATAAGCATGGTTTATATTTAACTGAAAAAATAACTATAATATTATTTTTTTTATTATAAGGTCGTGGATTAAGAAGATTATACTCTACAATAAACAGACGGAAAACACCATTCAAATTGGGATGGTAAATATATAAATAAAAATAGTAAATATTATATATATATATATTAATTTCCCTCTCGACATCAACTCTCTCGATGTTTCAAACAAACAACCCAATAATTTAAGTTAACAATATATATATAAATATTTTGTATTATAAATACGAAAGTTTAAGGATATCTAAGTTCCTAAGTATCTGCAATACATTTACATTTATTATGAATAGGATTTTAATTAGACCTTACGCTATAACTTTACCCTAGAACCACAGTTACGGCAATGACTATGAAATATATAAAATGGTGAAATGGCCGTCTTCCATTATTAATTATTTACGTCTCTAATGTATGTAGTGTTATGAGTCTTAATCAAATTAAATCAAATTTATTTTCCGATAAACATGTTAGAGTGGTACTTTATATGAGTTACGATTGAAATATGAAGTCCAATTATGCTTGCCTAATTAGGCATGCAATATTTAATTACACATGTTAATATCACCGTTATTAAGAAATCATCCAGTGTTCTTAGGTACACGTTTAATGCGTATATAGATAACAAAATTATATTATATTATTATATATATTTTATAAATTTTCTAATAAAAAAATCTATTTCAGGTTAAATTTGATGGCAAAAGCGGCAATAACGGGGTCAGTATTGTTTATTATGAAAATAATTTAATAATAATAATATTATAAACCTGCATTTTTTTATAAATGCATGTTTTTGATAACTGGTTTAATTGAACAAAATTAATCCTGTGTGTTACAGTGATAAAATTTAACACTCGATTCATTTTACATTTTAACAGACCTAGCCACTGCGTACATGCCAAAAGGGACGGACGAATGGATGGACATAGGTGTAAAATAATAAATAATTTATTTTCTTAATTTAAGTAATTTTCCAGTATCTATAGTACTAGTGTAATGATTACCCTTTGTTACTACAAAGGGTAAACATTACACTAGTACTAGTAATTAGGTACATACCTAGTAGCTGTCGCTCTATCTTTTACGTATAATTGTTATAAAATGTATTCTCATAGCATTTCTCATATGAAATGAGTTTTCGTTATTTGACATTTCAAAAACTGTGTAAATATTTGACCATGGTGGTCAAGCGGTCATGGTAGACAATGCTTTACTTTCAATGGTCGCGGTTTCGATCCTCGCACGGTGCAAACATTTGTATTTGTTTGTATCAGTCTCACCTAGATTTCTATGTATATTATAGATGCATTTACAAATAAAAATATCTAAGTATTTATATCACTTGTTTAATGTCCATAACACAAGCTCTGCTTATTTTGGGACGGTATGGCGTTGTGTGAATTGCCCAGGAGTATTACTACTCGTATTATCACAGATAGTATAATATTACATACTATTATTATCTGTGAATTTTAACTGTAGGTCCGTGATAATGGATTCCCATTTATTATTATTATCACTGAACATAGTATTAATTATATTCAGGTGTCATCATTTTCGAAAATCTCACAGCTACCGTTGCATGCGATCCCAAGTCATGCGTCTTGCTGGGCCCACTAAAAGCGAGTAAGTAGATCTAATGTACGGTAGCTATTACCAGTGACTATGTCCGCGTAACTTTTTATTTAAAATAAATAACATTTCTAATTAAAAGTAGTTTAAGTTACTTTTATAACATTAGCTACCTGCGAGTTATAAGTCCCTTCAAAATCGGTCCAGCCGTTTAGGTTAGCAAGAACACACAAACATACAGACTGACATACATATTTTAAAATTATATAGAGACCGTATGTACCTACTTTATATTTTACATTTAGTGAAAGCTGTTAATTTGAAATTACAAACGGACAGATTTTTATTTGTAACTAGCTGTGCCCGCGACTTCGTCCGCGTGGAATTTAAATTTTTTTCTCAAGTAAAAGTAAAGCCTACATTATCTTATTATATCAGCTACCTGCCAAAGAAAGTCTCATCAAAATCGGTCCAGCCATTTCAGAGATTAGCCGGAACAAACAGACAGATAGACAAAAACTATAAAAAATCTTATTTTGGTATATGTACAGTATATATATTCATATGCATGTAGTAAAAAACGGTTATTTCAATATTACACGCATACACTCCAATTTTATTTATATGTATAGATGATAATTGTTAATTGTTTATATACATTTACATTTTCTCCCATAAGGACACCATTTAACTGAATTTCGAATCGAACTCTGGACGAATAGTTTTTCTCATTTTTAATTAAATAATATATGTTTGTAATTTGTAATTCAGATTAGCGGTGTTCCGGATGAGGATCAAGAAATTACTGAAACCAAAATTTTTAAAATGCTATTATTAGTCGTAAGTTTTTATTTTTCTTTATTATAAAAGTTTTTATTCTTAGCCAAATTCTTTTATTAATAGAGAGACAGTGAGACATAAATATTAATTTTTTAATTATAACACTGTTTCATTTGTACATTTTAATATTAATTTCGATCTGTCATTTTTGTCATGATCAATATTCGTCTTTAATTTCTGAAATTTATCTTAGTAATAATATCATAAACGCGAAAGTTTGTGAGTATGGATGGATAGATGTTTGTTACTCTGTCACGCAAAACCTACTCAACAGATTTTGATAAAACTTTACAATTTTATAACTTATACATTAGAGTGTAATGCCTATGGCATGGCTATAATTTAAAAAGATAATTGGGCAAAATATAATTATAAATGTCAAGTAAGTGATATGCAGACGAAGTAGCACTGGTCAGCTTAGTACTTTACAGTAATATAGCTAATATTTTTGTTCCAGCTAAAAAACATGCAATTATGACATCCCAAGCCTGTGGTAGCGAATTACATAAATGAAATATACATAATCTATTAAAATAAATCTAGTAAAATATTCAAAATATGTACAAAAATAAACTAAATATAATACTGCTTTCATTCTTTATTTTTCAACTCATTGATTTATCAAATAGATTATTATTACATTTGAGTTTGTTTTCTAAATTTCAGCTTGAAACGATAAATTACGTATAGGTATGTATAACTTTCTTGACCCCATATGGGATAGACTGCAGCATTATCAACTGTCGACGTTGTGGTGTAGACTCCCGATCGAACCCCGTCCAATTCAAACGGGGATCGAAATTACGATGGCTTGAGCCGAGTTCTCAATCTCTAGCGGTGCCCTCAGACTAAACTCGTATCCATTAGGCGGGAGTCGGCCTTCAGCCGCTCCATACGTCCTTCCGCGGGTTTGGAGTGATATCTGCACTTGCTCCCTATCGTCTGGTGAAGTTGTAAAGGCCAGTTGTGGCAAAAAAATAATGTACTTTCTATGCCCATATTTCGTTAGGTAGGTATATTTGAATTCAACGTGACAGGAGTCGAGTCAAATGACGTCACTCTCAAATTGCTATTTGATTTATTATCTACGGAGAGTCAGTTAGCATTATAAATTGATAGAAGAAGTACTTACTTACTTTAGTGTCGATCAGATTAATGATAATTAGAAAACTTGCGGAGATTCATATTTCCGCACCAATTAGTACGAATTAATTATAGAATAGAAAAGAAAAATGAAATAAGACTTAAGGAAGACGTGTGTAATTATTACTCTAGTAGCCCGCCTCTACATCCCAGTTCTCATAACTTTGTGAGTATTATATATATTAGCATAATATATATCACTATATAACAATAAATGTTTCAAACTGTGAAAGAATTTGACAAATCGGTGCAGTTCTCGAATTCACATTCTCCATAACAAAGTTAGCTCTAAGATCTAAGATATATTATTTTATACAAGACTTGATATCCAATGAACAGTATATAATATAGCTTTATTTATGAAATTTGATTAATAATAATATTTTCCTAAAAATAACTATATTATCTTACCTACATTAGAATTGCGTGCCGTGTTTATTATAAAATTATTACGTTACAGAATAGCTTAATTAAACTTTGTCATCTTTTTTAACTAATTTAATTTGAGGTAAATAAAAAACTAAGTAGATATAACTATACAACGATTTCAGATAACTTACACTGCACACAATTTTGTCGTTTGTATAATGAAAAATATCTAACTAAAAACAATAGTAATTGTCTAAAAATAAATGCAGTAACTCATTATTACTAACAAAACTAAAAACACACACAAAAAAAATAAAATTATGTACCGTTTTTGAGCGCGTATGCTTTTTCATAGTTGTTATAAATTAAAGATATAAATCGCTAGTAATTGATTACACCTACATTATTTACACCTAAAGTATTTTTTGTATAAAATACTTTCGGGATCAGTTATCATAGTTATTAAGAAATGCCATTATCAATTGTGATTGTAAGTTATTATGCAATGGACGGTATTTTTTAATAAGTTTATAAATAGATAAAAAGTGATTTACTAATATAATATGTATAATTAAACCCCTTTTAGGACACACACTTTCAGCGGGCGTTCGAACTAGATTACAAAATAATCTAGTACGAACGCCCGCTGAAAATAAAAAAGAAAACATATTTTTCATTTCTTTCATTATGATTGGAACAATATTTTTCTCCCGAGGTACAAAAGATTTTATATTCACTATGACTTATTTATGTATTCAATCACGGAATTTATAAAACTAAATTCATTGTATCAGTTCGATCGACATATATATTTTGAAAACTAAAATGCATCAGTTTCCTCAACGTCATAGATATCGTTATCCCTCACTAATCTTCTTCTGCATCTTAAAAAGAAACCTCTCTTCCATAACAGTACAATTAAAAACACTATTGGGAATGTGACGAAAATACCTGCAAAGAAATTGTAATACATTAGAATGGCTGAACATAGAACTTAGAGCAGATTTTCTTTTATTCTTTTGGACTATTTTTCTTTCATTCATTCATGGGATTGCATATCTAATACGATCCTTCTGTATAGTGAAAAATTCAGACGACTCCCTTTTATTCTAGGCTAAATAATTTGAAATAACTGTCATTGGTCATAATATAGCATGACGTTGTGACAGTTATAATAATTGTAGTGTGGAAACAACAAATAATTGACAATTTCTTTTATAAACGAGGCACTCTTCTGAAACTAGTATGCTCCGACTATTGTATCGGAAGGATTTTTCAATATAGGCTTCTTCGCACTACTAAAGAAAAATTAATGTACCGATTTATGTACACAATGTTTTCCCTACAAGTTCAGTTAGAGCCAAGCCAAGCTAGTTATTTAGTTGTTATAAAGAGCCAAGTTATTTATAAAATTAGATACAGTAACTGAACTATGGGTAGATAATATCTGTATTCCAAATTGTTAAATGTTCTGTACTTACCAATCATAATACCAAGAATAATTCCTGCGTTGGATGTTTCGTTGTTTCCCATCGTAAGTTCCGATAAACATTCCAACCGCTTCGATATATCATAAAGGTAACCAATTGTCAGTCCTCGCATGTCCGGTGGTTTTTTGCAGCTATCGATAACGGAAAAAATATGATTAGAATGTATTTATTCGCTCTACATCTTTCTTTCAATTAGTTTTGCTATGAATCCAAATTTTCATATGACCAGGAATACCCCTTTACTCCAATCCATTCTTCGTTGTTTCATACGCTGGCTTATGAGAAACGTAGTTTGACAGTTTTTTTAAACATGTTACTCTGTTTAAAATTTTAGGTTGAAATAATAATATGGGTGGTTTTTCATTTAGACAAGTCAGACAGTTATATTATTATATCTCCAGTACCCACAGTCGCGTCAACGATCCTGCCCCATACGAAAGAGGTTAATTAAGACGGCCACTAATTTGAACTCTTAAATGTACTCTCCATTTTCGTCCGGTGTAAAGGCCGGCTGTGGTCGGCTGATTAGAATAGTTAGAAAAAATGCTATATTTATCATTAGCTTTAAATAATTTAAAAGAGATCAAATTCAGCCCAGGTCGATATTTTTCTTTCGCTAGTTTTATGTAGAATACTCAATGTCACCACATGTTCCGTACTTACATCATGTCATTATCCGCATCACTGTCAATCCTTCTTACTAATGGCACGAGAACATCAACCATCCACTGATTGCTGCAGTCACACATGTATGGGTTGCTGGAGACATTTATTGCAACCAGCTCTCGCCAGTTGTCTACATAGTTAGAGCTGATATGTGATATATTATTGTTGTTTAAATGTAACTGGAACAAAGTATTTACATTTGTATTTTGCGACTTTTGGAGGCGCCGGTGAACAAACGTGTTCCAAGTCACCAGTCGTTTGTACTTCTAAATCTGCACTAATGCAATAAAGTTGTGAATTTAAAAGCTTGTGAGTTTTAAAGTTCGGGGCAATCACCAATAGCTCTGATCGGATTTCAAAAGTTCATTAATTTATTTCCATCCATATTATATTAGTAAACAATTAATAAACTACGTTAGTAAATTACAATACATATCTCTCAATTCATATATCTATAGCCACGTCCAGATGCACTAGGTACGCAGTGCCTCTGGAGTGGACAATCCGACATATTTTCTATAGTGGTTAAGATGTTTGCGCTCCATCGAATTCTAATGTAATGCAATTTTTTCGCCCCTTATGGCTTGAAAGCCATCTCATCCGCTCTTCTGCAAACGTCTTGGAATTAACAGTTGGATTGCCTATTTACTGTTTAAAATTGCATTAGGTTTGAACTTTCTAAAGAATTATTCTTCCAGTTTTATTTTTAATTACTTTCTTATACCTCTGGGTGTCATAGAGAAGGGTGACATCTGTATTCGTTACCTCTTTTATCGGTGGCCACCTTTCTTCTTCATTTTCCTCTATCCACATTAAAAAGCTGGGGTCAATGTTCGTTAACTTAGGATTATAAGTAATATAAAGCGAGTTCAGATTCGGTAGACCTCCCAATGCTCCAGCTCCTATCGACTGCAGCATACTAAGGCCTGATAAGTGCAGCTCTTTCAATTCGGTCAAGCTGGTTATAGCACTGTAAATAATTAGATATAACAATTAGTTGGGCAATAATCTAATGATCATTATTCCAATGATCAGATACAATTATCTGTGTACTTAAATAACAATAATTAATTTAATAAAATAATTCCCAATTTTTCTTTTATTCATGACTGGCATACGCCTGTAACTTTGTTTGTTTAGATATTTTTATTTTTATTATGAGTTTTACATTCCTTACTAGAGAAATAATTCCATTACCTATTACTAACTTTCATAATATACTTCAATGTCACTCTTATATTACCTCCTGTAGGTATTGTAAGAGTGTCTTTTATCTCAAATAATAACTAAGACCTCGTAATACCTAAGAACTGCCTGCTTTAGGTTTTAGCCAATTATACGAGCCATGTATTTATATTATACTAGCTACCCGCCCCGGCATTGCACGGGCACATATTATACATATAAACCTTCCTCTTAAATAACTATTTACTGCTAAAAACTGCATTAAAATCTATTGTATAGATTTAATTTTATACTATGTACATAAACAAAATGTAATACTGTATAGAGTACCATTTTTACCTTAATAAATAAATTGTATCTTACCTTTTTTCGTTTAGAGAACTAATCAAGTTCCTATTGAGGTTTAAATATAATAAGCTGACAGGTTCACTCAGCACAGTGGGTACACTTGTAAATTTATTGTTGCTCAGGTCCAATCTCTCCAAGCGTCGTTGTCGTCGCAACAAACCTTCAGGTATGCTCTCCAAACCACAACCAGACAGACGTAGCTCCTAACAATATGAAATTTAATTAAATAAATCATCTTTAAAATTAGTACCTCATAAGAAATAAAATTAGTGTCAAAACTAAATAATAATAATATCCCAGGATAATTGACACAGCGCCATCTAGTTCTAAGGCGAGGAGAGCTAGTGTTATGGTTTTTAGACAACGAATGGAAACACTTTTTTTTTTGTAAACATAAATAATATAAATAAAAGATATCCAGAGCGATACAAACACTCATGAATACAAATGTTTGTATAGTGCGAAGATTCGAAATTTAGACAGAGATTATAAAGCAAGCTACTCGATGGCATAGGCCATAGACATCTATCTACGTAGACGACTTTAAGTACAATGTACTGACTCAGTTAATATTGAAGTGAAAATATCCATATCAAGGTAACTGCAGTTATACATAAATTGAAAATAGTTTGTGATAAAAAAATAGAAGACAGTGAAGTGGGTATATGAACTGGCCTATATAGGTTAACCTTTAACCTGTGTTTAGGATTGTCAGCTCTGGTTTCCATGGTATAAAATTGTTTATATATTTATGTATTATATTACCTTTAGTTTCGTAAGATCACTAATTGCACCCATCGTTACTTGGTCTAGGTAGCCTAATGGATTTCCACTCAAATCCAGAGATTGCAATTCCATCATGAAGATGAAAACATCTTTTTGCAAAGAATGGATGTCATTGTACGCCAAATTAAGTGATGTGATATCAGGAAATCGTCTTGGTAGGACAAAGTTATCCTCCAGATATCCCTAAAAAAGAAAACAGTATTTATTTTAATATATTGTATTGAATTTAATGAATAATTTAATTACTTGACTAAGTATACAAAAAATAAATAATAATTTAATGTAATAAAACAAATTAAATCAACAACAAAAATAATAACGAACTGAAAAGGTTGCAACTTTACGGGTTTTTTTTAATTCTTTTTTAAGGCACAATGAAAGCTATCTCAGCATATTCATTTGAACTTATGCTGTGGAAAGACCAACCCCATAATTGAATTGTAATATTATTGGTAAGAGATACTGCAAAGGTCTGTGTTGATATTAATAATTAAATGAGTTGTGATCATGAATTGTTTTATAAAAATACGACTCTGAAGCCGCATCTTAGATCCGCTTGCTTCATAAATGACACTTATGACAACAACTGAACCAGTTGCATCATAGTAGAACTAATATATGTTTAACTTAGAACTTATACTTAATACATATGCAAAACTAGTTGATCCTCAAAGATGCAACAGCTCTTTTTAAAAAAAAGGTCCCACCCACTCATTGGATTACATCACGCAGTTCTCCGGTCTATTAGCTTTTTTCCGACAGTACAGACACACCGTCGTGTTTGTCGGAGACTAAATTTGAAAACAAACTTATTTTTTCAAAATTTTTGATCGTTTGGTTTAAAGATACCGTGGAACTGATCGAAATTTAAGAGGCTAATTGGGCTATAGAATTTCACTTCAACCTTAGCTTTCCCGCCCATATCGGTGAAGATTTTTCCATGGTCATTGAGTAAAAAAAAATATAAAAGAATTATAAAAAAATTACTCAGGATTGCATGAAAACCGGAACTCTAAAAATTTTTACCCAAAAAATCTCATAACTAGAATTTTCAAGCATCAATTTTTTATATTCTGTACGACCATTTTTCACTGAAATGGAGCCTGTTGAAAATCACTCCTAAATTTGGATTTTTTTCTGTTCCGTTTAGTAATATTTGATCAAATCCTAAGTGACGCAGCACAATATTTATTAGTAGGTATAGTATTTGATATATCAAACACAATAAATTTTTTTCATTTCATTTCGCCTTTGATAATGTCAGAGATAAACGCATTCCAAACGATTTAGCTTAAGTTTAGTTAATAGTGTAGATTATTACTAAATCTATTGAAATTACTTTGAGACACATATTTATGAATATATATGTTGTCTTACCGCAAGCGAGATTTTATTGATAGCCGACGTTGGTAGATCATTGTGGCTTAGATCCAGATATTTAAGATTCTTCAATTTTAAGAATGGTGACCCATCTAAGAAACTGAGGTCACACCACGATAAATTCAGTGTTTGTATAGACAATTTTGGCAATTCCGTTAAAGTCTTTAAAGAGTTTCCACTGAGATTCAATTCTTCAACATCTGTAGCAATTAGACCTGAAAGTATAGGTAAAGTTTGTATTTTTATATTTAAATATTTATTTTAATGTATTAGAAAATATAATTTACGTTCACAAATCACGGATTTGTTAATTTGCGAAAATAATTTGGGATTATTTCGTAAGAAATTTAATTCAGATATTGTGACATTGTCAGGTCGTTATTATACGTGCTTAGATACCTATATTATGAATATAAGCAAATGTATAATATAAGCATATATCCAATTACTGGGTCCAACCAGAACCACTTTTAACAAGCTAATCGTGGAAATCTGAAACAATTGTTGAAATTTTCATATTAGACTGATCACGTGACCCCGCAGTTTGTCTGCATCTTTTAATATTTATCTTCAATTTCTCATTTATATCTTAATAAAAGTTGTTCAGTTCCACGAACACTGTCACTAGCATTCAGCTTGGTATACTCCTTTACGAACTCTATATATCTTCTATTAATATTTTATTACGTTATGCTATGTTATTATATTTTTATTTTATTTTAAGAGTCAAATATATCAACCTTGACAATATTAACCAACGATATAATTCGAACAATAATAAAAAAGGACAAATACTAGGTTAATAATTGCAATTCTTATTAGTGACCTAACTAACGTGACCCTATATGTCGACGCCTGTTAAAACCCCAAAGTCAATAACCTGATAACGTGTCATGTTAAAAGGTGTATGCTTTAAAATTATAGACATTTTTACTTGGAGTAAAAAAAATCTGTGATTTTAAAGCAAGCAAGCGTTGAATTCGTAGTTTAAGTGATAGTTTAAACTTTTCATCGAACTATCGCCTTATCATCCTCCAATGCTCCAAGTCTCGTCATGGTATAGAGTTAGTGCTCTATTCCATTTTTATAAAAAAACGCACAGAATAATATTAAAATATCCGCACAACTTCGACTGCATCACAGTTTCTTAACATTTATCATTATATTTCGCAATTTAAATAATATCTTTTTATATTATAGCCTACGTGTTATTGTGATATTACTGTACCATTTCATGAAAATCCGTCCAGTAATTTTTGCGCGAAAGTGTTACAAACATCCATCCCTCTATCCATACTCATAAACTTTCGTATTTGTAATATTAGTAAGAAAGAAGCTTTTGGTTTGGTATATAGTTTTGGTGCATTACTACATTTTTATAAAAAACAACACCCAGAATGAATTTTAACTATACTCTGCATCCACTTTACCATTACATATTTGCAAGAAAAGTAATAATCCTCAAAAGTTCAATGCCAACTCTTCAAACATAGCGTGTATTAGTTCAATGATCTTACCTTCCAAATCACCATCCTGTAACGTAAACGAGTCACTATCACTGCACTCCACTTTTTTATTTTCACATATACATTTTTTGCACAAGGAAACCGTTAATGGCCAGTTTTCTTCAATGTTGTTTTCAGCCCCCAATTCAGCCTCCGTGGTTAGCATTAATTCTCCAACCTCTGTTGTGGGTGTTTCTGTGTTCTCTACTACTGAAAAATAATAATATAGTTTTTTTTTATTTAATTAACACTCAACAAGTGTGTCTATGTTAGACGTGCCTATTTTTATTATACCTACTAAAAAAATATTTATTTATAAATCATGGGTTAAGAATTCACACAGGAATTTGCATAAGATGTTATAAATCTAGATATCATTATAAAATTTTTGGGTTTGACTAAAAGATGAGTACAATTGAATTGATAAATGAAAAAATATATCTATATAAAGCTCATTTTACAAAAAAATATTATCGCAATGATAAAATCCTTCCCAGCATCGTGTTAGCTATTTTCTAAAAAAAATTGAGAAATAATCTCTTCTTCAATATTTTCCTCAACATCGAGAAGTGACCATTAATACTTGTTTTCCCGAATACTTTTTAAGATTCTAAGCTTTGAACCAAATGTACCTATTTGAATTGACAGATTTGTATTTTTTCTTAATTAAACACTTGTTAAGTAATTTAATCAAGCGGTCAAATTAAAAAAAAACTGAAAAACATCTGTGCATGTCGTTTTCAATCATTTCTTAATTACTCAACATAGACAATCAGCCGTAAATGATAAAATTACGTCATATCGATAATCAATGCATATGTTAGGTACTTACCGTCAACTTGCGATGCACTGAAACAAAACATCACCAGAAAAACCACAACACCCGTTACATTTATCATGTTTTACGAAATAGATGTATTGATTTTGAAATATTGACGTTACGTATGATTGATAAAATTTAAATCGCCGCTTTAGACTCTGTCAAAGATGATAAGAACAGATAAGTCATTTATGTATATCTATACATATATATCGCTGTTTCTATCGTTTACATATTCTAAACTATGCAATGGATTTTTGAGTTGAGTTACAAATTATATCCAGCAACCATGGAGAAGTATTAACTTAATTTAATTAGGTACTAGGTACTTCACATAAATATATTTCAGTTCAGCTTCGCCTTCTTTTTAATTTTTCTGTAACGTTTAGACTGACGAACTTAACTAAATCTTGTTTTAGTTATTGTGTCCAAAAATTTAAAATAAATATTTATACACAACTAAAGTATAAATATAAAGTTTGTCTGATACATTTGTAACGAAGCTAAAAATGGACACTTGTATATAGTAGATCCAATTTACAACATGTAAAAGTAATAAGCCTGAGTGTATATGTACAAATTATTTGTGTAATATTTAATACCATAATAATGTACAACAGTAGAACACCTAATGGCTCTTCTGTAACATTATTTATTCTATAGATTATCAAATTTGTTATGTTAGATAAGCATTTCAAATAAAAAAATATTTAAAGATAAACTAATACACTATAGAGTTCAAAATAGCACAAGATTGAAATAATAATGTGTGTGACCTATGCCGATAAAACTAACAGTATGCTTATTTCCTCGAAACTGTTATTTTATTGAGATCAAAAATGATCAATCGAAGAACCTTGTGAAATCAATAAATAAATTCGATTAATCAATGGTCTTGAACACAGATTACAAAGCAAGTTGCTTGGTCGCAGTAATAACAACTTTTTACAGCCTAATTCAGTTTAATATAATGTTATTAATAACGCGAAAATTTTGAGTATGGATGGATTTTGATGAAACTTTACAGTAAAATAGCTTATACCTACATCAGAATAACATATAGGCTATGGATTTCACGCGAATGAAACCGCGGCACAGCCAGTACTTATATATATACCTATATAGTATATAAAAGTAAGTTGTGTATGTATATACATTTTTAAAAACTACAATCGTGAACAAAATCAGTTGAGATTAGATTTATGATAAGTTTTATCAAAAAAAATGATACGGAACTACAATACGACATGTGCTGTAATATTATTTTATCAGTACTTATTAGCAATTGTATGATAGTGAGAATTTTTTCGCTTGATACATATATCTTATTTGCAATAGATTCGTATTTACTTTTTTTGACATCATTGATATTAGAATGCATGTAAATTTGATTGCGGAATCAATATATTTAGATTTATCAAGTAGTGGGCTATTCCTAAGATATATATAAGATAAAGTAATACAATACAATCTAATAAATTTACACTTCTATGTTAATGCACTGATTTTAAAAAGAACAACACATAAACTTGCCTGTTCATATTAAGTGAATGTAGTGTTCGGAGAAATAGAAGGAAGTTAGTACATTTAAACCCGTAAATTGCATTGCATTCCGCGTATTTTCGACTACAGTCGATCGAGCCGTGCCGACAATGTTGTTCGGTTAAGATATTAGTTAGTACACCGATTCTCTTTGGAAATACGCTAATCGTACAGCGTCGTGGGCACGAACCATCTTTATAGAACCTGATGAGATCCAAGATTAAAAAATAATGAGTAGATAATGATCGTGGTCTATTATATCTACATATGTTTATGACAATAAATATCCTGGAAAACATTCTTAACCAAAGACAAGATTGATATGAGTCACTGCTTCAGGATACGATAGTGTATAAATCATTTAGAACAATAAGGAAATTTATATATGCATGTTATCTATTCTAATAGATATCAAATATTTGACAAACTGATTGTGGATAGATATCGGATATTACACGATTGGGGCGTAATACATTTATACAGAATTATATCTATTAATAGACATTGAATGTTCTAGAAAAGACCTGAGTCATTTTGCTAGACTTAATAACTTCTGGGTTCATAGGTAATTCAGTTATACAATTCAATTGAGATTTGGCAGTGGTATTTACTGAAATGATTCACTTGCTCTAACGGTGTGCTGCAGCGCTGGCGAGGTAGTAGTGCAGGACGATAAGATGAGGATGAAGTGGTTAGTTCATTGGTATAAATTCACCAAGAATTAACTGCTATTGATGTATGATATATGATGGTTGCCATTGATACAGCGTCGAGGTCTGTATGTGTGTGTGTGTTCTAACGAATATACAAAGGACTGTGTTCTGAAGAATTGTTTGACATGATGCTTACGGCTACCATTTACCATCCTACCTCTCGCCATCGACAGGGAATTCATCTCCACACGTTAGAACTTAAGTGTTCTCGGACAGTGCGGTTTCAGAGGAGCTTCCTCCCGCGTACACTTATATTGTGGAATAGAATAGAATAGAATAGAAAATCATTTATTCGAATAAACTTACATTGAAACACTTTTGAATAGTCATAACATTTTTTTTTAATCTACCGCTCATTCGGAATGCTGTCTCATCACAAGAAGAACAAGCAAGAAACTTGTGTGTTGCTCTTTTAAATAATTTATTCTTACTTACAATTTAAGTTTAAGTGTGTGAATATAAACCACCGATTAGCACTAATTCAATGAAATAATAAAATAGAAAAAACATTCAATATACAACAACTGGTTAAACAATTAATAATAGAAAATAAGTCATAGTGATTAGAGCAGACCAGTCCACACAAGAAGCACCCGTTCACGAGTATGACGGATGAGCCAGCCACCATTGCGTTCGACCATATTTTAGGGAGCCCAATGACCCGGCCCACCAAGTCTGGACATTTTAGTGAGCATGACTACTCAAAACACCAGACCACGTCATAGCTACTCACAATTGCCATCTGATGGTTATAGTATTCACATTTCACATAAGAATGCATGCGGCAATCAATACAAAAACCGCTACGCTTTCATATTTCTAAAATAATTGAATAAAGAAAGCAATGAGATAAACAAATGAATGAACTTCCTGCCGAGATTTTCTGACAAGCATGGGTTTCTCAAGAAGGGTATATTAAGGTATCTTAAGGGTCAGCAACGCGCAGGTGACATCCCTGGTATCTCAGGCGTCCATAGGCTAACGGTAACTATTTATCACCAAATGGGCTGTCATCGTCATATAATGAAAAGACACAATAATTTAAATTAATTTAATCAATTAGATACAATTATGACTTTAAAAATATTGGTGAGTGATTGTATATCTATTGTTTAAAAGAGATTTTGAAATAAATTAAAATTAGCACAATATTTTTTTAGTATATTTTTTTATTTTAATATACCTACTGGTTACTATACCTGAATCTTACACGGAACTCGTTGGCAATTTATTTTTAAATATACAAGTTTGTATTTCAATTTAGTAATAGTTCTCTGAAGTTTTAAATTAATCTAATTATATGTACTTAGCAATTTGAATATATAAAGAAATATCCTCCAACAACTTATATAAATTCGATTTCAATGTAAGTACAAAATTGTTTATTTAAATAGAACTATAATTTAAAAAAAAATATATGAAAAATTATTTCTTTATATTATAAGATTACTACTAATATTAACTAAATGTAAACACTTATATATAGTATAGTTATTTATCAGAATTAATACTTATTTAAATACAATGAAATGTGCAATGATGGTGAAGTATCAGAATTCAATAATGTAAAATAATATACTATATATCTTATATTCACTATAATTTATCTCAAAACTTTTAATAAAAAAATATAAAGTATGTAACCAATAAAAAGTCTTTTTATGTTGAAAATATTCTCAAAACATACAAAATATGTTACAAACATCTTATATATAAATATCTGGTAAATAAGTTACCAGATATTTATATTTAAGATGTAACCACGTTTTCTTTTACAATATTTCCTGCCATTTTTTTAGGTAATGCTACAGACATTGAGATCGTTGCATTTTAAAATCTGATTTTATTATGTTTAAAACTTTTTATAGACTATTTAAAATTAGACTGAGTAATTTATAGTCATAATAATAATAACCTGCAAAAGCAAAGAAAACAAGGCAATAGTGAAAATAATAATAATGATCTCAGGGCAATTCAAACAGCGCCATCTAGACTCAAGTCAAGCTAGCTAAAGCTTGTGTTATGGGTACTGGATAACTGATACAAATACATAGATATATTTTTGTTTTCGTAAATACATACTTAGGAAATACCTAGACCGATACAACCAATCATACTCATGAATTTATAAATATCATTTATAAATGAACCTATTTCAAAATGTGCATTTAATATAGATGTTTACATTATCACTATTCACTTTACATATAATTATCATCGTCGGGTGCCCGTTTGTAGAATGCTCTAGAAGCGACGCTGGGTCCGCGCAGGCCGGCCCATGCGAAGTAGCCATTCCTCCACATCAACACCAAAGCCAACATCACGGGTACAGCCAACAGGACCCCTGGGAAAATAATGATATACGTCGTGATATTAATTCAAAGTTGTCCCCGACCCCACTCCATAAAGTACGTTCTACAAAAAAAAAATACAATAACTAATTAAACTGGACGATATTTTGTCCATATGTTAAGGTAACTAGATATTAGTCGCCTTAACATATGAACAAACTATTGTTCAACAAAATAACGTATTACACTAGTAATTTTTTTAAATGGTCTTCTTTTAGAAGAAACTCTACTTTCACAAAAAAAAGCAATCTAATATAATTATCTCATTCGTCTAAACAATCCAAGCCAGTATAAAGTTTATAAAAATAATATTCAATGCATTGAAATTGTAATCAATTTTCAGTAAGCCGAGTAGAATGGAACATAAATAACGCAAAATTTCTATTGAAAATGTTGTTATCATGCTTTGGTGAAGGGAGATGATGGTATCTAAATAGAACGAATACTGACGAGTACATAGTAATGTTAATGGCATTTTTTTATACTCAAATTTAATGTTATTCTACTACCGTCTGTTCTGAAGGAGATTGCACCGAGAAACAGTGATTTTCAAAGGCCATTGTACATCATTATAATAATAGATAAGTATTAAAACTCAGGTTTAGAATGAATATATTATATAAAGATAATTAATTAGATATTATTATTTGTTTCTATAAATCGTAATAAAATGGCATTATAAGGATGGACACAGGGCTCTTTTATTTCTATAAAGACATAAAGATAAAGTCGGATATCGCGGATAATAGCTAGTTTATTGTATACAATATGTTAGTTATATATGTATTTCTTGTATTCTATGATTTACCTAGTATTCAGTAAACAGAGGTATATAATAAAGGCTACGTACCGATAAGCAAGCCAAGAAGAATGGCGCCGTCTCTCTCTGGCCTATTTCCGTATTTGTCAAGACATCTCATGTTGCGGTGGATATCGTGAAGGTGCTTCATGGTATATCCCCGCATTTCTATAGGCTCTTGGCATCTGATAATAAGAGATAAGATTAGTTGTTAGTATAGGGATATTTCAAGTACCTAAGGAATTTGTGCCTTTATTGCAATTTGTGCATTTTTGTTTAATTTTTTTTATATTTTTCCTTAACAAATACATACAACCCTAACTTTTAATTTATATTGCAAAACAACGTTTGCTGGGTCACCTAGTACTTATATATATATATGTATAAAGACCAAGATACTTACACAAGATTTTCAGAAGCATTAACTTTTAGTGATTCGATGGCCGGCACTAGATTATCAACCATCCATTGGGTGGTGCAATCACATGATAATGGATTGTTGGCCACTTCAATCACAGTCAGAATATCCCAGCGAGCTATCAGTCGTGAGTCAATACCAGATAGGTTGTTTGATTGAAGATACAGCTGAAAGAATATTCAGTTTGCCTAATTATTATTCATATTTGTAATAGTCTATGCTAATTTTGATTGAAACTGGGGCTGAAATAATATTCAGTTTAATTATTATTCATATTTCAAATAGTCTATGATAATAATATGAGAGCGACACGATGGAGATGGATCCCAAGGACGGAAAAAGAGAAAAAGGCAGACCAAGCACTAGATGGGATGAGGATATTAGGGTAGTGGCAGGAGTAATGTGGAACAGAGTGGCTCAAGAAAAAGGTGAATGGAAACGATTAGAGGAGGCCTTTACCGATTGGCAAACAGATTTGCAGAAATTATAAAGGATCTAAATACTACAATTTTTTTTTTGCTTTTTAAATTTTATATCTGATTGTATAATAACGTTTAAGTTGATCTGAATAAAGGCTGTAATAATAGTAATAATGTTAATGAGCACAAAATTCTAATTTACTAATATTAATTTTACATGTGGGATATAGACAAATTCTAGATTACTAAACTTTTTACCACGCGGGCATTGACCTTGAATACTTGAATTTGGAATAATTTATTTTTAAGATGTGAGTGCAGATATGTCGCCTCCGTAAGGACTTATGAAGCGGCTGAAGACCAGTTCCTGCCAGACGGATACGGATTTACTCTGAGCACAGATAACATAATATTACATAATCTGTGGGTACCGCTAGGGATTCGAACCACAGGCCGCCGTAATTTCAATCCCCGTTTGACGGGGGATTAATCGGAGGGGAGAACAGCTTGTGAATAATATTACTACATTATTAGATGTTAGTTCTTTAATGCAAGCTTAATTATAATGTAGCATTTAGATTGTATAATAGAAATAATAATTTTTGCATAGTTATTTCAAAATTTTACCGCCACGTGCAAAATTTAGATTTATCTGAGAAAAATAGGTACGAAAATCGATTGGTTTTAAAACAGAAGTTATATCTACAACTTTATATTGTTATGCAAACTACTATTTACATAAATATATTAGACATACAATAAAAAAAGTTAATAGAAATATACAATACCTCTTTAATCAACGGCCAGTCATAAGTTTCTCCTATATCATCAACCCTCGCTAAAGCCTTAGGATCTATAGTGCTAAGTTTAGGGTTGTAGCTCATATGAAGATTTTCTAACGCCTCGAGCCCAGCAAGAGTGCCGGCACCTATTGCCTTCAATTCCGGCATATTGCACATGTGAAGTTCTTTCAACTTACGAAGGTTTGGGAAACCACTGATAAGATAATAATATTCAAATTGAGTATAAAGGAATAATATATAAGTACAAACAAAAATAGCTACTATTGGGAATACAATATGTCGTGGTTCTCAGCAACCACTTTAAAGTTTTTGAATTATTCATGTTTTTGATGTTATTGGAAAAAATGTTGGCATAGCAGTAATTTATGGATTTTAAAGATACACCAAAATATAATATTAACATACCATGTATATTTCCATGAAGTATATTTATTCATTATAAAAATAAAGCACAAAAAAGCGTATATCCAAATTGGTATAGGTAGTAAGTAATCCTTTAGAAAGATTAAAATGAGTTTACAAAATAAAGGTTACTGGAATAGTACGCGAAAAATTATATACAGTAAAATATAATATAAAATATAAAGTTGTGATGGGTTTTTTTTATGTTAACAGCCGTTCCCGTAGGTATAGATAACTTACGGATTGTCTTCAGAATCGGCGATTAATTCCACTATTGGGTTCTGGTTCAAGTTCAGGTAAATCAGATTCTTGGTTTCCTCCAGCTCTTGAGGCACAGCTGTCAGTTCATTGTCACTAATGTCCAGGCGTTCCAAATAGCGGGGCGTATGCAAAAACTTATCAGGGATCTCCGTCAGTTGACATGAACGTAATCGCAGGACCTGGTAAAAAACAATATTATCAGCATATTAAATCAGATTAGTAAAGAAACAATAGGTACATTGAAAAAGTCTATTACAGTATGTAAAGTAAGCGTGAAAATTAGAGGTATTGAATTTACATTTAATATTTTAAAATTCATAATACATCGTCTTTGTTACAGATACATCCACATTTATAACTCGTCCTAGATATACCACGTGTCTTGAGATCAAAAACAATAAGAGAGCGTAAAAAGGAGTCCCACCTTCAACATAGGCAAACTGGAAATAGCGATCAACGTGACTTGGTCTATGGTGGTTAAAGGATTCCCACTCAGATCCAGTTCCGCCAACTCTGGTAGATGCTCAAAAAGATCCTGGTGCAGTGAGTGAAGGTCGTTGTATGCCAAATTCAGGTTCCTCATGGAGATGAGAGGTTCGTACTCTTCGGGGGAGTACCGACCCTAGAATGGAGCAAATCGGTGAATTACATTAAAATATAAGAATGTTCCGAATTCAGAAGTTACGAATATATACTTGCTAATATGCACGTGCTGTTTTACATACAGTAAAATGAATATAGACGTACGTTCTTTATGATGGCTATATTCATTTTAAGCATTTATTTTTTGGGGATATTTGGGCTATTGTCGGGTGCCAGTAACACTGCGAGCATAATAGATCTATACAGATCTATTATCCTCACCCTTATGCAAAGTTCGCTATCTATACCCGTGAGGGACAAGATTTGAAGGATATTCTTAGGAGCGATGGTTTTTATCTCCTCAGGATATATAAACGAAATATTTTGTTTATGCATGAATGTGCTACAACCACATAGGATGTGTGTGTAGTGGCGTTACCAATTTTTAGGCAAAGGCGTCATTTGTTTACAAACTATCTATGACTACTTAGACTACTCACTTAAATGTCTGAAAATTCTGAAATTCAAAAGTATTAGTATTAACCTGTTACACCTATTGCTCCTGATCGAATCATTAGTTTAAAACATTAAAACCAATTCTCTAGAATTATATACGCAAAAAAAGCTAATTTTCATTTGATTGATTAGGAGAAAAATAATAACAAGGCATATAACTTTTATTCCTCCCGCGTACACTTAGATTGTAGACTGAACTACCTGCTGAGGTATTCTCGAGAGGCTACAGCATGAGGTTTTTAAAGAAGGGTATAATAAGGAGCGCGTTCGTTCGTATGAAATAATGACATTGGATAGCATTTTTAATTATTTAGCCCAATTATAAAAAATCAAAGGAAAACGCTTCATCATTCTAGTATCATAAATGCCGATTTTAATAATTGCCATACAAACTTTCATCCCCTACTTTATTTTACCTCCTTAAGTGAAAATTTTGTACAAACTTTGTATGACATATATATTTTATTTAATCAACAATCTAAAAAGTAAGTGTCAAGCTTTAGCTTTAAATATGACGATACATCCATACAAGCTTTTATTACCCCTTTCAATCCCTGACAACCGTTATTTCGTATTAAAAAGTAGCCGATGCCCTATCTCAGGGTTAGGGTCAAAGTTATCGAATTTATAATAATAAGTAAGGATGATTTGTAAAGTCCTTTCAGATATATTTTACCTCAAATGCATGCGGACTCAACTTTGCAGAAGTCAATTTATTGTGACTCAAATCCAAAGTGACCATTTCTTGTAGATCTCTGAAACTTGTGCTCTCTATGAACTGTATACCACATCGAGAAAGATTCAACACTTGTATTGGCAGATCCGCCATCACTGTTATGTTTATAAAAGAATTTTCACTCATGTCTACATGAGTTGGCTTCATTAATTGCAATGCTGTAAGGAAAAATAAATGGTAGTTCAAATGTCAGATCTGATGATGAATTAGATATTTAGGTAGTAGTAGTAGATGCAGGCAAATAATTTGGTTTCGATATTGATAAATCATATAATGCGCAATAAAAATTTTATGTGCAAAATCGTTTGTGTAATTTTGCCATGATATTTAGACAGGTATCTTAATAACTCTTATAGCTATACAGTACAATCATAAAATTCCAGAGGACCTTCTTTTCGCGAATGCTCAAGTTACTAAGTTTTTCCCCAATAATTTTTTAAAAATTTGTATTAAGTCAGCTCATTATCGGAAAGAGTGATTACATTAATTATTGGGGACAATACTTTAAGCAGAACGGTATGGAAAGGATTACCGCAAGGATCTGTCCTTAGCCCCATTCTATATAATTTATATACCTACGATTTAGAAAACAATACTATACAGGATCTACCGGTTTCAAATAAGTAAAGTCTGTTTCCAATAGAGGAGTTAGATAACTTTTTCTGAATAGAAGTCCTTATATTTGTATACAAACTCTTTGACCACATACCATTTCAGATTGTAATGTACTGTAATGTAAGTGGGACTCTATTTTTCTCCTTTAGCGTCTAATTTGGGCCGTTGTGGGTTAGACGAAACTACTTTAGTAGTCAGCCAAGCTCCACCCTGAAGCGCAAAAGCCTCCTGGTGTCTTCACAGAGCGATCTCACCATTCCGAGGATTGTATAATATGATGGAATAATATGAATTACGTTTCAATTATTTAAGATTAGATACATAGTTTTCTTACCGTCCCATTCGCTTTTACTGAAGAATTTGATTAAACCTTGTTCAGTGCAATCTACTTTTGTGTCTGCACATTTACATTGTCTGCATATTCCTGATTCTAAAACTACGTTGTCCGTATCTGCTTTCACTTCATCTAAAATAAATAATAATTAGAAATCAGAAAATGAGTAGTGACCACTTGGCTGAAAGTTGTTATTAAATCTGGTTGACGTCAATAAAAACTTCGTATGTTAGTTTATATTTATGAGGGCCTCGGTGGTCTAGCGGTTTAATTCACCTCCTTTCATTGCGGGTTCGATTCCTCGCACGCTACAAACATTTGTATTTATGAGTATGATTGTTTGTATTGGTCTCAGTGTTATCTATGTATATCTATTATGTATGTATTTACAAAAAAAAATATTATCTAGTACCCACGACACAAGCTTAGCTTGGGACCAGATGGCGCGGTTTCAATTGTCGTGAGATATTATTATATGACTGATTCGACGTCTATGATAATACCGATAAGAAACATAAAAATTATCTGAGAGGCAGCGGCAGGCTCGCCCACTGCCATATAGCGTTCACCACTATGTCTATTATAGTTTACAACCCCTCTGACTACCCTACTACCCTGTGACAACAGACATAAAAATAAATCACATTACTGGGGGGAAATGGGTTTGTTAGTAATGTGGATTGATGCTCTTATTGCTACCAATGTCAGGTTGACCTCCACGCGAACCATCCTGATAAATTCTTGATGAATTATTACGATGGGCTAACTGAGCTGACCTCATGCTCAACTTATCATCCTCCACTGGCGCCCCGCCAGCGTTAACCGTTAGCGCAGGCGGGTGCACCATTCTATTATCATCCATAAAAAATCACATTACTACATTACAATATATATCATATTACTATATATACACAATAACAACTAACTTATGATACAGGAAAGCTCTTACAAAATATATAGTGGAAATGTCTGTAGTTTTCATAATCATAACCGAATGTTGTCTTTGTGTTAATAATATAAAAATAGATATCGCTACTTACTATCTTGACAACTGATTCCAACCACAGAAATGGCTAAAACAAAACAAGCCAACAAACGTTTGCCCATCTTTACCTGTAAATGATAACAAATTAATTAACAAATATTTTGTTATTACTGACTGATAAGTCGCTGGGTGCCCTCAGAATAAAGTCGTGTAGGTCAGACAGAAGTTAGTAAGAATCTTACACACCCCTATCGCCATCACTTCGGCGAAAGATCAATAATTAAAAAAAATCTATATCTAAAAAAAATTCCATGTGCTAGTATTAAGCGCACTGTTCACTCGCCTCAATTTTGCCGGTGAAGCAATAAATGCCAGCTGACAGTATTAGAGTATTCTGAATAACATTATAATCGCGAAAGTTTGTAAGTATAGATGAATGGATGGATGGAGGTTTATTACTCTAACGCAAAAATTACTGAATGGTTTTTAAGGAAACTTTATAGTAATATAGCTTACACATTATAATAACACATAGACTATAATTTAAAATGATTGCGTGAAATATAATGACTTTACATTAAAGTAAGTGTAATGCAGACGAAGTCGCGCGGGTTAGCTAGTTATTAATATAGTTAATAATAAGACAATAAATAATGTGTAGCCGTGGTCACGAGCTTATTGATCAAGTCGAAAAATCTACGTAAATACCATTATTATCAAACAATTATACCTGTTTAAACCTGATTAAATGTATTAATAATGAGTACAAAACACGAAAGTTTAAAAATAAGTATTACAATGATAAAAAATATAATATTATATATTCTCAAACAATGGGATAAAGGCAAGGCAATGATGATTATATTACATGCATCTACTAACGTGAAAATAAAATAGGTTATCACTAGATAGTGTTATCGGTATTGATTGTCGCTTCACACAACTTCACAGAATTTCCAATGGAAATTTGTACTAGCGTATACACTTTGATAATGTTAATATTGAGCATGGGAGAGGTTAGTAACGGTGAATAGAATGGTGGGAGGTTAGGAACGGTGAACCAGATTGCTAGCTATGTACCATGTCAGATCGCCCTCCACGCGGTACCCCTTGGGAACCATCCTGGCTAAAGCCTGGTGAATTAGCCATGGTGACCTGATCAAGCTCATCCTTTCATCCTCCACTGGTATCCGTTAGCGCAGGCGGGTGCACCACTTCATTACCATCCATAAAAAATTGATAAAGATGAAATTCAAATGCCTAATGTTTATTTTGATGAGTGTAGGAATCAATTAAACTCGATACTACAATGAAAAACATATTCCATTATTCACATTTCCCATGTTTGTTGTGTTAAAAACATCATTATAAATGAACTGGATATATATTCACTAGATGGAGCCACACGTCAACTAGATTTTGATATTTCATTACAATTCATGTCCTTTGGCGCTGATTACGTCTATTACCCCGACTAATAATGAACATGAGTCATGAATATAAATCTGACTTCATCTATATTTCAGTATACTCACGAATTTAAAAGTTATTTCCGCAATATCGTTAAAAAATCAAGTCCATTCGCGCAATTATAGTATACCTACATGAGAAATCTATTTCGAAAGGTTTACATATATATATATATATATATATATATATATACAAGCTGCGCCCGCAATTTCATAAGGGTGAAATTTATAGCCTATATCTTATTCTGATATAAGCTATATTATTGTAAAGTTTCATTAAAATCCATTCGGTAGTTTTTGCGAGAAAGAGTAACAAACATTCATCCTTCCATCCACATTCCACAAACTTCCGCGTTTATAATATAAAAAGTAAGAAGTAAGATATATTACTAGCTGAGCCAGCAAACGTTGATTGCAATATATATGGTGCGTCTTTCGTCACATAGTGCCCTATATACACCTCCATAAAGCCGATGTAGATCACTAGTAAGATAAAGAAATATTCCAGGATTTTTAATGACCAACGATCACTTACTATTTTTATGTTATCCAACTTTTTATAGCCTAAGACATCTATGAAATGCACTTTCTGTGTTATTGCGCAGCAAACGTTAATAATTTTATTACCTACTCTCTATCTTGTCTTTGTTACATAATAAAATTAAATGCTTGACTAAATATTAATTGTTACAATAAAAAAAAAAACAAATAATAGTACCTTTCTTTCACTATCAATACACTTAAAATGCTTATTAAATTTAATTCATCACTTATGAACTCTGAACAAGGCGTAAATACAAAGCGACTTCACGAGTCTGTTTGTTAAAGTTTTATCTTAACATCGCAGCTATTATCAGTTCGTTTATCTATCTATTAGATACCTCTACTTATATGAAAAAGATAGTACGTGGCAAAAAGCGGACTGTACCTTTTTGTATTAAACCCTACAGAATCTTTTTTTTTTTATGTAACAGGAATTTCAAACAACTAATGGCCTATGCGAGGGAAAGTGATAACAATTATCAACACATCTTCATACAATAGGTACTCTTGGATCCACTCCGAATGTCTAAAATATCATCCCTCCGTACGGTAATAAATGCAAACTGTTTGGCAATTGAAACAATTACCCACAAATACTACTTTATACAAACTGTTATTTATATTTTTTAAATACATATCAAACCATATTATTGTCATATACATCGTTATGCAGTAAACCCAATTATTTTTATCAATACGTAGATACTATCGTACTATTATGCCACTTATTACTCAGACAATTCACAGAATATTAAAATATGAATTTATGAATAGTACAGCCGGAAAATATAATTTTCAAATAAGTAAGTAGGTATAACTCTATCCTTTCAGATGTCACAATAAAAATAACTGTAGATACCTATTCAAGAACAAAATAAACATAATGTGCAGTCTGTAAACGTTATTAGGAACATGATGTCATATTCTTATTATTTTTCAGAACATGTGTAGGTATCTAAAACAATCATTTTGTTTGAATTTTAAAAACCTTAAATAATTGTATAAACTTAGAAGATTTGTCTACTATACATTGTACCTACTATGTAATGTTTCGTAGACTTTTTAATGATATACTAATCTGTTACGTTCAATTTATGATGATCTGGTCGTTTCAGAAGACTTTCAATATGTTTTAATGAACTAGACAGATCATATTATACTGGGCAACAGTATACACTAACAAGTCCCAGAGGAGCGTAATCCGATGCGCGACATCTAGCGGTGAGTAGGATAATCACTTGATAATTGACGTAAAGGACTGGTTGACGACAAAACGCGGGAAATTGGCTTAAATGAGGCAGATTTTGGAAAATTAAGTATCTTTGGAGTGGTAAATAATAAATGAAATTCGAACACAACTTTAATTTTATTACTAAATTGTTTTTATACTCTCGTATAAAAAGTCCAATAGAAGAACAACCTAAATACAAAAATATTACCTACATTGTTCTCTAACAGCTTCCTGTAAGTCGCTAAGAGTCACTTGAAAGAAGTGACACGCCGTAACAAGGAACTTGTAATAGGGTTGTCACTTGTGATAATTGATTCGTCGTGAAACTGTTTTATTGTAAGAACGTCCTGGTTTTTTACCCAATTTTGAACCCAAAGTCATAAGTTATATCTAATACCAATCTAACTTTAGTAATGGAAACACTAATCATAAATAGGAATTAATCCAAGCTAAACTATAACTAGTAGTGTGACGAAATAACTTTCTAAATTGAATCCTAACAGCTGACTGTAGAATTGATATTTCAAACAAAATCCACAAATTATTATCCATAGGCAAATTTTGTATAAAGTCTGCTGTATAGAAGACAAAGATACAAAGATACAAAAGCATGAAATATTGTTGGAATATAACCTTTAATTATTTTATCACACCCACATATTACCACCTATTTGTAATCTGATATATAGTTAAAAGCATATCGAGTTTTACTTTATGGTATGCTCTCTATATTTCATTGTCTATGGTTATTAGTCATTGTAAATACGAATAGTGTCTTGATAAAATAAAATCCATTTAACATGAAGTTTTTATTAATTTCCACTGCATTAAAATAAAATACATCACACACAACCATGTACCGTCACCAAATAGATATCTATGGTTGCTATTTTCCATCAACTAGGCCATAATTTTTTTGCAATTTCTATAGATAAAACATATAAAACGGAAGCTATTTTTCTGCTCATTTCTTTGTTTTTGACAACCCTACAAGGTACGTTCAGAAACTATCAGATTACAAGACGCCCTCTCTTTGTCGCCTGACAAGTAAAAGTGGTGTCGAGGTACGCTACTAGTTAAAAGAAGGTTTTTTTCGCATTTTTAGCATAGAGTACTTATACGTTTGTTTTCTGAAATGGCATTTTAAAATACTAACCTATATCTAATCATCATTTGTATTTATATACAAAAATCTTAAAGGAATTAAAATAATTTTCTACCTAACTAAAAAATTACTTATTCTAGTATCCTACTACCTTACCTTTCATTAAAAATGTAATCGTTTCTATAATAATGTTTATTAGTTAATCACATGGAAAAATATGTTACCGAAAACTTATTACAAAATGTGTTAAATATTTTTTATTTTAAATCATCATTAATAATAGGCAAATCCACACAGCGAGATACAGCTAATTAGTAATAATATATGAGAAACATCAGTTATTCAAGGTTCAGCATTACAGTTTTTATGAAGTTTTTATGAATACGTAGGTATGATTACGCCCTAATAAGTTTATTGCATCCTTTTCGATAAAATAATTGCTTAATATTAGATCAGCTTATATCCACAACAACTAATTATTTCTGTTAAAATTAGGAATACTGCAATCTCTATAGCTGTCTCGTTCATAAACTTTTAAAAATACTCCAATTTTATCGTTGGGATTTTTTTCTTCTTTTGATTGGGAAACTTGTAAAAGGATTGATCGGTAGTACTAACCTTGCACCGTCGTAAGTCAATTAACTTGTAAAGGTTAAAAACTGTCGTGGGAGGTGACATTTAGTGTACGTAACAGGGGGACAATTTGGCGCTTTAGTAGATGGGTAGAGACGATAAACGCTTTTAATGGATAGTTTTATTGCGTTATTATGGGTGTCCTTTATTGTAATGATGCTTAACTGTACCATTTTGACGCAGAATAGTTCAAGAAAGGTTGTAAGTTATATACAAATATATAATACTATCTCTGCCCGCGGCTCCGCCCGTGAAATTTATAGCGAATGTGTTATTCTGATGTCCAGACTATAAACTTTCATTAAAATCCGTTCAGTAGTTTTTGTGTGAAGGGTAAAAGAGTAACTAACATCTATCGATCCATACTCACAAAGTTTAATATTTATACTATTAGTAAGATATATATTTACGTGTAAATATATGTACATTTGATTTACAAACATCAACACATGCAAACATCTTCACAAACTACAATAGGCATTTATAGACAACAGGAGAACTTGTACTAAAATATCATACAAATACACCCTACTTCGATCGCCTCAAACATTTAATAACAAAATTGGATTTAATACCTTACAATATTTTCCCAAATAAACTTAATTTGTCGTGTAATAGTTTTGACAGGTCTATTATTTGGCACCGAGGGGTGAATTTATTCAGTTTTATTAAATTTGCCGACATGTAGTGGCGTCATTATGGGTCTTTGAAGTTATCATCAAAAAGATCACAGTAGGGAGTTTGTAATATAGATTTGTACCGAGGGAGATGAGATTTTGAGGTGCTAAGTTATATACCGATATAACACGTATGTATTGCATATTATACGTATACCTATATTATTTAGTGCAGACAAAGTCTTTCAGAAAACTTTATTTTCACTTTACACACACACACACAGGTTTTTACAGGTTTTGACAAAACAGATCCAGTATTGCTTAGTGACCTTCATGTAGTATAAATAGCATATTTTTCAGAAAGCGGAATAGTTTACATTAAATATATTTTCTTCATATTTACGGATGACGTAAATATTGCGATATTATTATAACAAGAATTGATTACACGAACCTAAATAAATATATTGACACTTAAAAGTATTTACTAAGAGGTTTATATAATTAATTGTACTTTAACTTTAAACCGTTCAATCCAGCTCTAAGTGGATCAAAGAGATACGCTTCTGGCCCAATAACTCTGAATTACGTGCCCACTAGCCATCTACATTTGAACATTGCATTTTGAACATTATTGCAAAGCTGTAAAGGTGATAATATTAGTGAGCCCTTTTTCAACAAAAGATTGGCACCCCTATTGAATCGTGAGGGCGATGACAACTCTTTTAATTTGGGCACAGGAGGAATAGGTATAATATTGAAGTGATTTGATTATGGGATGGATGGATGTATACCATATTGCGCATAATAAAAATAAAAAAAAATTTAGACAATGGCCTTTCTAAAAATAATTTTCGTTCGCTTGAAAATATGGACGCTGAATACTACAGCTACAGCTATCTATTATGGTTATTGATACTGTTGTTATTATGAAAAAAAAAAACATTCGGCTGTTTAATAATAATCCCCATAATTAGAAGTCAAATATTGATTTTAATATAATAAAATATATAATCAATAAAGATTTTAATAATAAACATAGAAATAAATAATTATAACACGTAACCATCGTCTTAGATTCGATTATGTATATAAAATAAAAGACAAAAAACATTTAGATATTTCATAAAAAAAATTATATGAGATATCCTTTTGACTTCCTTTTATTAAACCTAATCTTCACAAAATTCTACAATAAAATTTACTTAAAGTAGAGAAGATTATTTAAAAATTATAGGTATCTAGAAAAATGTTTCATGTTGGCATAAACTTATTCACAACCCGCTGGGTGGTGCACTTTTATACAGGTATTGCGCATAGATATAATCGTATCGTAATTCTATATAGCCATTACACCGTCTGCCCTTTTGACAGATATTCGCTCTAAAGCTTTTATTACTTTTATTGGAACTCAACCAGACTTAAACTGCTACAAAATTATTTACTCTCAGAAGAGTAAAAAAAACAAAGGCACAGCATCTTCTTTACATAGTAAAAAACAAAGTGGCCGCCGATGTCTCTTCGCGTATACCTTTTAAATTAAGCTACGGATATTAATGCAATTTTTAATAAAAGATTCAACATGAAGGTTTATATGTATAATATTATATATAAGTGTTATAGTATAGAACGAGTCGAGAAATTCAAAGAACACATCTTTGTGGTTCTGTGTGAAGCCAGTATGGGTCGCTAATATATAATAAAATATAAAACTAAAATCATCAAGCAGCCATAGGTTCATGTAGATTAGATATCGAGGCCTACCTTTCAAGGTAAGGTTTTAGGTCTATCTACCGCCCATGATGAAAAATGATAATGAAAGCCAGCTTCTATAAATACTAAGATAGATAGATAGATAGAATATACTTAATTTGCAACATACAATAAAGAAGAAGCATAAACAATATAACAAAGGACACCTGTATCGTTACAATAAGGCGGCCTTATTGCTAAAAGCAATTTTTTCAAGGCAACCTTAGGGAAACGGATTGAAATATCGAACAGGCAGGAAAAATGACATGAACAGTAGAAAATTAAAAGGTAACAAATATATAATGATGATAAAGGAAAATAATAGTAAATATTATATGAATTAAAATTTATGTACATAATAATATTCATATATTAAACTAGATACACTTACATAAATAATAATAACTGTACATAGATACTCGTAGCAACTAAACTATAATATAACACCCCCTTTTCTTCTCTTGCATGTCATAGACTATATAAACTGAAACTTGTTATTAATTTATTATTCCAATTAATGTGAGAATTTCCATAAATCAAAATTGAACAATTTGATTTGTAAGAAAGCAAACAATTATAAGTACAACAATAACACGCACTCGCCGGGGGCGCACAATGGGCAAATTAGTGGCAAATTGTGCGTGTGATTCTGTGAACGCTGTAACAAAGTTATCTCGACCGTCGCCGAGTAAATTTTGTTAGAGAGCGTAGTCATGTTTCGTATTTTGTAAAATTGAATGTCAACTAATCGTCGCCATTGTAGAGTAGGTACTGTTTTTTTTAATGAAAGAGAATTTGGAAAAATATTTGTATACCTGTCTGCGCTAAAGGTTTACGCTGACGGGGCAGTGGAGGATGATAGGATGACCATGTCAGTTGGACCCTGATGACAAATTCACCAGGAATTTATCACGATGGTTATCAGGGCGAACAGCGTGGAGGTCAACATGACTTGGTGCATTGGTAGCGGTGGAGTAATTAGTTCACATTACTAATGAGGTCATTTCCATCCAAGTGTACTATTTCAGCATGCGCGTCAAAGAATTGTCTTTACCTACAATTTGAAAACAGCAGGGCAAGGGATTATTAGTGAATGACCCAATTGTTATCTAGTAATTAATTTGACATCCACTTCGAGCTATCTGAACTAACTTCATCCTCATGCATCTTAGCAGCAGACAACTTACTAAGGTCAACCGATCGGACTTATAATTCGGATCGGATAATAACTTAGAATATTAAAGCAGGAAGAACACAGTTCCAAAAATATTATTCTTCATTTTTCAGACGGTCATTCCACGGCTTTTCGGAGTATTTCGAAGTATTTCAGTAATTTTGACGAAACTCCTAGGAGTAAATATTAGAAAAGTCTTAAGTTGATTTTTTCTAAAATTTATTATAATTATTATTATTATTATATACGATATTTTTACCAAAACTGAATGTATGTCAGCATTTTTTCTTTCTTTTTGTCCAGAATTATTAACATACATATAGTATAGAAGCCAACAGAAACTTAGTATGTAATTGTTTAGTAATATAGATATCAAATCAGCTGCATACCTTTACCCTTATCTTTGATGGGGGAAGCCTATTACTAGTAATAGGAACTAGTGGCCCTATTTAGGCTCGTTACGTCAATCTACATGCAATCCCCCTTGAAACTTGTTGACTATTCCATGTTGTGAATTTGAATTTTTCCTTTGTTGGATTTAGAATTGGCGTTTATAGTATAAAAACTACGGATTTGTTAATTATAAGTATATGTATTTTGTAGTAATTTTATAGGAGTTCCGCGTACGAAGCTATAGACGCATGTCGTGATCTGATTCTCGAAGTTTAATGTAAAATGTGTAATGAAATTATTGCTGTCATCAGAAGCTGAAAATAAGTACAATGAATGTAACTGTACACCACTAAAATCTTTTCATTTGACTTTATCCTCGTCCACAGAAATTACACTGAAAATGGATATATTCAGTGGCTAATCAAGCAGTAAATGTTATAAGGTGGCTGATTAATTTCTTTAATGTTGTAAGTCACATCATAATTACAATCTTTTTTATCTAATTTTTTTGAGGTTGGTTATTATTTATTATGAGTTGCAAAGGATTTTAAGTGTCGTCAGAAAATTTAAGACCATTGACACACAGTATTTTTGAATCGACCATAATTTGATTATTAAATAATAATAGAGATGCTGATTAAATTCTTTAGTAGTCCTTTTGGTGATGGGTTTGTGTATATTATGTTATTACAGTTGCCAAGGAACAATATTAACTTTAAACGTCATTTCAAACTTTTTCACTATTGACACAGCATTTATGTCATCGACCATAATTTAATTATTAAAGAACTTTGAATAATAACATAGGTATCTACGGATAGAATAATATATAATATATTCGACCATGACACTCAGTTACCGGATTTGATATTTGTTAAATTAAACTAACATTCAAATAACTACCTTTATTATGTATAATGGAAACTGTGACGCAATTTACATCCATATTCTTGAGACTAGAGCAGTCCCTTGTACAATTCTTATTTGACTAGAATTACTTAATATTTAATGAGCTATTAATTTTACTTAAGTTTACTCGAAATATATACAATCTATAACTAATCAACTGCACTATGAATAGTTAGAAAACCCACAAATCAAGTCAAATAAATTTAATTTAATATAATATTATATATATTAAATAAATATTAAAAGGTAATAAATAACATTACATTTAGACATCGTTTGATAATATTTATAACATAAAGAAAATACTAATTATAATAATTACCGTCATTAGTAGTAGTCAGTAGTCATGTTTATTTTTATGAACCTTTTAAAGTTCGTTTTAGCAAGGTGCCTAGCAAGAGGCTTTAAACACATACTCGGGAGTTATTGCTTCCGAAGCTGATATCGGGGCAAACAAATGGACTTCCACCCCTAAGGCGGTGCTTTTTACCTGTATCGTGTTATTTGTAAGCATGTAAAATTCATGAAAATTAATTATTAAAATCCATTCTACTGACCTACATGAAATCCATAGTTTTTAAACAAAATTCATTGTATATTTTTGGAAAAATAACAAAAACTTACATTCTTTATTATTTTTTAAATGAATGAAATTCATATTTTAAGTATCTACAATACATATCTCATTTATAAGAACTAAAAAATATTGCCTGTACAAGTTTAGTCGTAGTCGCAACGGTAAAATTCTCAACTCATGAAACAACAAGAAGAAAATCATAAATTTAATTGTCTTAAAAAAAGAATTTCAAACATTGCCTTTACGGGAAAGTTGTTCAGTTTTAACAGTTCCTCTAACTGTCTTTCTATTTCTATGGTTTGTCGAGACACTATAAAACACATTAGTGAATGTACAATGAGTTTTACAGAAACCGTATTTCAAAAACAAATATTATAACTTAGATACTATGACTAGTTTCAAACGACCAGAAACATTTAAATATCATTAATTTTATATACAAAGTACTCTATTATTGCACATGGTAAAATAACTATAAACAAAATTACTAACCTACCTATTTGTTTTTGTTTGTTAAAATAAATCAGTAATTTATCATTTATAAATTTTATATCCTTCAGTAGAAAATTAAAATGTTATGAGGAAAGATTGAATGGTTTGTTTGTAATTTCTATTCTATTTTGATAAAAAAGTTATCCATGTAAATGAATGTTTATACTTAGACTATGGTCCTAATACATGTAGATAGAATCATATATTCCCAATGTTAACAAAATTTATTAAAGAATGAAAAAAGTTATTTTATTGTCCAGTTTTTTGTATCTTTTCAATAATATAAATATAATTAATGATATATCGGTACATAACTACTGCAAAACTTATTGCAAAATCTATACAATAAACAAGAATACAAATTGTACTTTGAAAATATTGAAAATGAATTCTTGAATTATACAGAAACTAATGCTTAGATTACTATTTCACTCAAAAATACATGAACTATTTTTTTTCATAAATAATTTTAAGTGTCCGCGGAATAGTGTTGTGCATAATTGGGCTCTCCGACGATATCGATATCGCTGTCACTGTGTTCTGTTTCAGAGTCTGAAGTATGCGTTGTTGATAATCGGGACTCGTCCGTCTGTTGGCATAAATTACAGTTATATTATTTTTTTGAAAGATGGATAAGAATGAATGTACTTGTCGATCTTACTCTTTCAAGCTAGTACTTCTGAATAGATTCGAATGAAATTTGGTTTGTAATTAAATAGTACTACAAGTTATAGTCGTCCAGCACACTGCCTTTTCTCTGACGGTCGCGAGTTCTATTCCTCGCATGGTACAAACAGTATTCATGAGTATAAATGTTTGTATCTGTCTGGGTCTTTTCTATGTATATTAATTATGTGTTTACAAAAAAATGTATCTGTGTGTTTGTACCAGTTGTCCAGTATCCATAATACGAGCTCTGCTTATCTAGTTCACTAGATGCGCAGTGTGTGTGCTGAGATATCATTATGATATAGTTTGATTATCTTGTTTTTTTTATATAGCTGCCAAAACAGAGAAAAAAAATATCCTACCTTCCTGCACTCCGAATGCTGCGGAAGTTGTTTGGAAAAATCAACCGCTGTTCCTGTTAACATAATTATAGTTTAATTTTATAATATAATGGTTTCACCTACGTTCATATAACTTTGAGAGTTTTATATACATTAACGTAATATAATACCCTATTTAGTGAAAGAATTACTCTAACCAGTCCTGATTCCAGGTCTATGCTCATTAGAAAATCCGATCACTCTTTATACTTACTTGATATTGTTTATATATTTGTTATATTTAGTAAAAAAAATAAATGTTTGAAAAATAGTGTTTACGGTGAAAAGTTTGCGTTACAAAATCTCAATATACCTACAACGAGTATATGGAGATTTTGTAACCCAAACTTTTTCGTATACTATTGTACTGTAAAAGAAACGTTTGGACATTACTTCCTTGGCAGACTAAGATATAAAATATAGTAGTTATTGTAAATGAACATGTTGCACATACAATAATACCTACTTATCTATAAGTAACAGTTTTATGTCCTGCTTCATACATGTAATCAGGAATAATAAGGTTAACAAAACAACAACAACATCAAACTAACATAAGTACTAAAAATATGTAATTAAAGATAGTCTACAATATGGAAAAAATATGTATTATATCTTTTCTTATGTATTATATAATATCTTTAAAAAAGACATTTTTATGCATAGAGTGAAACTCAACAAATTGTCACAAAACTCGTCGAGTCTCTTATTAAATTAGATCCCTTTCCTATAATTATGGCCCATAATGGAACGAAATTAAGTCGATTTTACCTTATAAAATATTGCTATCAACACCCTAATGTCTTCATATTCTGTTATAATGCAAAACTGAACTTTCATGATATAGCATCAACGTCGAAACTCGTAATGTGGATGTGCCAAGACGGCCCGTTGCTATAGCGACCAAGACGTCAGCCATCTTGTCTCCATAATGAACTTATTGCGAACGTCTTGAGTTGTGGCACAAAAGCGGTGCTATTCCAAATTTAATTTGCCCGCCTTTGAGGTTTCGCTGTCAATTAGCCAACCCTATAGCTTGAAACGTTTCACCAAAAATCCATCAGTTTTAGACTAAACTATTTACCAATACTAACTTATTAACAATAGCTGCATTATTACTATAGCCCTAATAATTTTCCTATCATCAACAGTTTTTTGTTTTATCAGGGCGCTGCGCTGGTGCTAAAATTTTTCACAATTACATATGTAGGTACTACGTAGAGATGGCAAAATTCATCATAATCTATTTGTTGTGACATTTCGGATAAATCTTTCACTTAACACGTTTCTCAAGTAATCGTAACATGTTTACCCCTTATTTACCTCTCATTATAGGTTATGCATATAGGAGTACGTACTATTCGACATGTTTATATCGGTCTCTCCATCCATACAAATATTATAAATATGAAAGTGGTATATATAGTAGGTAACCTGTCGGGTGGTTTGTTAAACTTATCGCACGTAAACAGTGGAACAGATAATATATCTATATATTTAGTAGATCAGAGAATAAGGTTCAAGCTATTTTTAACTCTTCTAAACAACATTTTTGTGGTGAACCACCCTCTATCCTAAAAATGTTGTGAAATTATGAACAAGTTTTTTTATATTAATGTTTTCGTATTTCGATTTTAAGAAATATATAGGTACAACCCAAAATTTTCACACTTTCTTCTACCATAAATTACTATTTTTTTAATATCGATATTAGTAATTTCCTATATTCTGCCAATACCATTGTGTCATTCGAATTACATTTACCTAAGAATAGACAAGAAAGATAGTTTTATACATTTCAACCTGCGTCCCTAAAGATCTTGAAAACTATAATAGAAAGATCTGTATGAATATCGCTTCTAGAAATAAACGTAATGGATATTCCAGATAACTTTAACACTGAAAACTAAACTAAACTAACTCAATCGCGTCGGTTCACATAATATGTGCTAGGTAGTAAGTACCGCACAATTGAAACTAAACTCTACCTTCATTAACGTAACTTATTTAACAGTCATAGTACAATTGCCTATACCAGAAAACAGACTATATAAAATAATAGAAATTATTTGATGATATTAAGTAGGTAATACAATAATAAATACAAGGTAAAAGCGTTTCTAATTAAACGATCTCTCTAAATTATATATCACGATTAGGTTCGTAATAACGCTTATTAACTGTTACTGTTAATATCGTTATTAAGCTGCGATCGTTATTTAAATTAACAATTAATTAAGTTAATATAAAAAGCCATATACGGTACAAGATTACAATTCTAATTTTAAATTAATTTCGCGAGATTTTTATTTTCTTAATAATATATGGTATTTAAAAAAAAACGTTTGTCTCTTTGGTTTGCCACTTTAGATAAAATAATAAATTAAGTACCATGATACTAGTTACTAGAAATACGTGGAGTTACTGAGCAAGTAATCACTACGTTTTTTACGTAGCTATAAGTATTCTGGAAAAACCTCAATAATATTATTGTTTATATATGTGTAGTTATATTTTTATATTACTATCCTCCTCCTACTTATTCTTATATGTTATATGTTATACTATCTGTACGTATTCTATAGGTAGAGAAAATTCATGGGAAAACTTAGAATCTTCACATTGTTCCACAACTGGCAAGATGCTGCCAAGTTTCAAATAGTTTCAAATTCGCTTCATTAATTATCTATAGTTAGCGATACTACGTAGGTAAACCACGCCGACGTGGAACTTATTAGAACTCCTACGTTTGCTCGTATGTAATTAAATTGGGTATTAAGCATAATTAATGTAAGTTCTTTTTAAAATGTAGATATGTATATTGAACAGAACAGATTTTCTGTGGTATATTTCTTAATAGATTTAATTAAGAGGCTTCCCACCAAGATATTTTCAAATTTAATTACAATTATGATTTAGCGTGACGCCTCTGCTACAAATTATCCTACAAAATTAGCGTAATATATTATAATATTATTATAACTAAGCTCGCGAGCTCGTATACATATAACTTTTTGTTAGAAAACCAATGAAAACAAATACTAATAAAAATTAAACTTCCCACAATGGGTTTGTGAAAATCTCACCCGAATTGGTTACACCGCGCCGTTTCAAATATTAGCACGCACAAATACACTGATAAACAGACAAAAGTCTAACAATCTTTATTTTGGTTTAAAATGTTAATAAAATCCCCAGTAATATATTTTTAAATTTATCTTTAATGTACAGATGGCTTTATTATAGTATATATGTAGAATGAAACAAAAATATTTATATAGCGCTTTCAATAGAAATAAAAACAAGGAGCACATCAATTATTAATAATAATTAAACGTTTAGGCGTAGCTTAAAAAAATAACAATGAAAACAAAATGACAGATAAACAAACAAATAATTAATTAAAGCATACATTACAATATAAAATACAAATGTATTGTACGTAGACTTATACGTAAATACATATACCACAAGATGTATACCCAGTATCTAGGCATAAATAGTAGTAGATTATATTATAGTTCAGTACTGATTGTAATCTGTCCATCTAGGACATACAAAACAGTAATTTATTATATGTACACTAAATTAATACAAAAACAGAAGAAAACAATTTATAAAAATGTTAGTTGATTTTCAAAAAGGAATTATATTACCAGGGAATGACGTAGGCTGTATTACACGCACACGGCGGCGGCGCCTGGATAGTACTCTTCGAGTAAATAATAAATAAATCTATACATTTTATTTTACCTCTCTGTTGTTGCTGCTTCCTCATTTGCTTTTTGTGCTTCATTCGCCGGTTCTGGAACCAGGTCTTCACTTGGGTCTCGGACAAGTTCAGCGCCCCCGCAAGCTCTACGCGCTCCGGAGTTGACAAGTATCGCTGAGACTCAAATCTTTTCTCTAGACCTGCGTAATAAAAAAAAAAAAATTTCAAAACACAAACTATACTCTTTAATTGTTAGGTAAATGGTACCTGTTCAATATCTATTTTAATAATTGACATGTCCATCCACCATGTTCCATTAGTTACTGACCATCTAAACTAAAGTATTGACAGGTCCTAAATGTGGAGTGCAGATTAACAAACAATATTATTAAGATTCACGCGTAGCCTCTGTCTTATTGCTATTATGGAGAATAAATTGTCTGTTCAACCAATCATCATGAAATTTCACATACAATTAATATTTGGCAAGGAGAAAGACAGTACTGCTTTTATTAGAATCAATCAGAATTCAATGCTATTAAAAATTTATGAATATATATATCATGCGAAGTCAAATTGGTAAATGGAAATCAAAATAAAACAAAGCTATATAGTGAATCTAAGTTACTAGTGTATACTAAGTAGTTAGTAGTGCGTATAAGATACTTACCCGTCAGCTGAGGATCGGAGAAGACAGTCCTGGCCTTCCTCCGTCGGCAGTGCTTCAGAGCAGATAATGACAACTCCGACGGTGTGAACAACGCGTGGTACGGAACGCCTAGCGGAAAATAGATCAATATTAGGAGGTATTATTGGCACCATTATATGTACGTTCTTAATATGTATATGTATTCTCTGCATAATTATGATCAAAATGATTTTATGTCTAAAAAATCATAACAAAATTATATTCTACCTCATTCCAATAGCTCTTTAAAATTCTTAATTTATTGATATCCAAAGTACATACACCTAATTGTAACAAACCGTAAATAAATTTTTAACCTATTATCTGTCGGTATAAAAAAGAATAATAAGAAGAAAGATTTCTTGAAAACTGCATAATCTAGACGTTTCCCTATTATTACAGTTAATAAAATCATAAACTTTCTTAAAATTACTACCTATTGTCCTCTAAACAATCTCTTGTAGTTTTGGTGCTACGGCGTAGAGACCGGTTTCTGTATATGCGCTACGCAATGTAGAACTTCTGTTCAAATTACCTGTGTACCTCCCGGTTGCGTACGCAGTATAGTGTTCCTATACAAATTACATGCGACTATTTGTTTAGCGTAGCTAACGCGTACAGAGTTTTTCTCTATGTTACGCAATGAAAAACTTAGAAAGGAATTGCGATTCTGCTCACCAACATGAGTACAACATAGAGATCAGTTTGTCTACATAATGTAATATCTAGGTTGCGTACTTCTACGGAAACAATGGCATAAGAAGCTTCAGTTTAAAATGCAATAATCCTAGACAAGATTTATATGTTTTTTATACCAACATTTTCTATTTCATTGCAACTGTATTTATATTAATTTTAAAATTATATTTCAAACTATGCATTGAAGTTCGAATAAATTAGGAGTGTATTTTAGAAGTATAAAAAGTTACTCTACAACGTAGAAACAATAAATCTAGTTCTATCTATAAGCTATACACAATGTTCTAATTCTAATTTCTAATAATATCAATAACAATCATCATTGGTTTGCCTTTATTTAATTATCCGGCGTCATATCTAAGCTTACTCTCCATTGCTGCATATCATCTTACACACATTCCATCCATATATGTATTAGGTAGTTGTATGCGATTAACTACATAATGATTCTTGTGTTCTTATTTTTAAAGACATATTGTAATAAATAATCCTAGATCCACAGCGTCATTCAGAAAGTTTGATATTAATGCAATGAATACATTTTTGTAAGTACACTTATATTATACACAGAATGATGATTACGAAATATTGTATTGTGCTAGAAGAATTCACTGAGTTCCTGTCTCTTTTAATCACTTCACACATATAATACACACAATAAAGAGAAATAAAAAAAAAAGATATTTATATGTACCTATATCAAACTTAATAAATTTATAGAAAAAGCAAAATAAATTTCTTCCATATATGTTATATTAATATTGAATATGCTGGTGTAAATTTAGTAAATATTTCTATATTTATCTAATGACTATTTGTTCAGCGTTACTTACCTTGGGATAAAAAATATGGGGCCTCCACGCTTTTATACGTGTTAGGAGTGTGTAAATAGGCACCCAATGCACCCATTGCCACCTGTAAATACGAGCCTTCTCTGGGTGCATGTGGCCTGACTTCATTGGGTATCGGAAAGTAAGGTTTCGGCTCCGGTCTCTCATATTCGAATTGCCTCCGAGCATCAGATATTGGCTGCTTGAAACTCCTTTGCTGTCCCCGATATAAAATATCTTCGATTAAAAAAGAAGTTTTCGTTTGCTCCTGATTACTGGTCGGGGGTGATTCACTTCTAGTCTGTTGCTCCATTTCTTTTCTTAATTCTTATGTAGCTACAGTTATTGAAACATTTCACAGTTTGTATGTATTATCACTTATACATTAAAACAGATATCTGTATTTTTATATCTAAAAATCATTTAGAGAAATTTTAAACAGAGTTTAAAAGTCGAATGTCTTTCCACAGGCAACTTTTAAAAATGTTTTCTTTTTTAACATTCAAATAATTTATTACATCAGAGCACTGATTACATTATTTTACACATGTTAACGAATCTAGACTTGTTTCAAATTTAGTACCAAATGAACTTTTAATACTTTAAAATGAGACACCACTTCAGTTAAATGCAAGTATTATTTGTAGTTTTATTTACACAAAAAACAAATAACCATTTTTCTACGAAGAATGGTTAATTCACGAAAACACTTATATGTTGTCGAAATAATTTTCGGGCATAATGTTATCGATTACGACCATAATCGCCAGTTTACCGATTGTTTGTCGCAAACGAGGCGATTTCGCCAGCGGGCAGGGTTAAACTGTGACAGAACAGGGTGGGGGCGCTAGGGGATGAGCGGTGACGCCTTACGGGTGGTGGGAGGTGTAAACTTTTCGAAACGAAATCATGTTTTAAGTTAAAAAATGTCTACATAACCGTAGCTGAGATTTATTTTTATTATATTTGATTTAACTAAACATTGGAGGCTAAAAATACTTTATTGCTTTTTATGAACCTACAGCAAATACATACAGGGTGTAAAGGGTAGGGTGCAAATAATACAACATAATGAAATCCAACGATATTATTATTTAAGGAACCTAGTCCAATTTTTTTATCCTATTCTTCTTCTATATCATTAATCTTGAAACTGTCCTATTTTATGACCTAACTCAGTGTTAAGATTTAATATGTAAACAGTAGGTAAAAGTTATATTCAATTTTTACTATATGCCTTGAGGAATTTTATCGTATATCGGACTCCTCGGAAAAGTATAGTAAATGCTTTTTATTATAGTTACAATTTTTATAATTTGTTAAATACTTTGTTAGCAGTGTAAATAAAGATTATTAAAAAGTACGTAAAAGTATCATATTTTGTATCTGATTCACAAATGTATAGAAATGGAAACACACGAAAACTAATAATATTTAAAAATAACCTATGACGTGCCATAAATTTGTATGAAAATTGTACAAACTATAATAGATCATAGTATTTTGATATATTAGTTAATAAGAGTAAAACATTATATATTGACAGTAGTACATTTTCGAATACTAAACTATATGTTCTTATCTCTACTATTACTGTCTACTACATTAGATGTCTTATACTGTTTTTTTAAGAAAAATAGCTAACTTTATTTTGTATGATCTACATTGCATATTAATTTAATTTAATTTAATTTACCTAAATGTCAAATACTACAATTCGTTCAACAATGTTTGACGCAAACGAGAGTATCATAAGATATGTTATATACATTATAGATGGTTGATCTCATATACACTGTACATACCTATATAATTCATCTACTTGTATAATTCATAATTTAGGTTCATACCTAGAGTACTACAGAAACAGCCTTGATGTCTAGTATTAATAAAGCCAGATACGAAATTCCACGACATTCACAGCAGAATTTCGAAGTAAGACTCAGTTCACAACGACCGATTCAATCTGACAGCTTTTTAAGTTTCCTTAGAAAAAATACAGGAATAGTTTCATACCTATAAGATTATATATCGGTAGAAATAAAAAGGGAAAGCAGCGTGGCTTAGGAGGTATACCTATAGTTTTTTTTTAAACTCTGTTACCGATTTATACTACTCGATTTAAACCCCTAATAAGAAACCCGCGAAGTTCAAATCTGGATTGAAACCATTAATACATATATTTTATTTTATTTCAGGCCATTTTACACTACATCGACTATTAACAAAAACTCTGTCTACTCTAATTGTGATAATATTCGTGAAGCTAGAAATTAAAGGAGATACAATATTTGACGCTATTTAAAAAAATAACTATTTCTAATTATATTATAGACAGTTTATATTATAGGTCAAGCAGAAAATTAGGAAGTAAAATGTCATATTTCCCGTTATAAATCTATAAACATTCTCAATTTATTTATATATCTACTAACTATAAACTAACTACTTTATATTGTCTTTAAATATGTTATAAAATCCAAAGAAATACAAATCGAGAATATTCTAGAAAGTAGGTACTATTGTACTGTTATACTAACTTGCGACATAAGTGTGGATGTTAAAACTCAAGTTGGCAAGTTTACTTCTACATGTTAGGAGTTCGAACGCCGTGTGTACACAGCGTTACCGTATCTACCCTAAACCCCGTACCCATACATACCTTGATGACTGTGGAGCGGTTAAATTGCCAAGACGGTGTAACTCAATGGATGATCCCTCGAATGCAAAGCGAATATAGTTGGCTCTAACATTCTTGATATTTTTATAATACATTAAAGTATTATTTACCTGTCGCAATTTTGGGTTAGCGCCCTCTATAATAAAATTATTATAGTACGCAAGTAACGCTAGATGGCACTGAACAGAATCCGGGTGTCTCCCGGATTCTGTTCTGTGTACAGAAGTCTCAGTTAACTGCGAGGAGCCGTCAAGGTAACATCTGCCTTGGTCTGTGCTCGTTCAATGATTTTAGTTTTAAAATTGTGCTATTGGTTATAATTGATTATTAATAACTACCACGTAAAATCCGATTTATATTTCTACCGTCTATTATTTGATATCTTCATCGTTATTCTCAACGCCCACCTACAATGACAGACCAAGATACTGATGATGACCAAGATACTACTGATGCGAATACTTGTATTGTATTTTCCATTCATCACATCAAGGAGTAACCTGACATTGTGGGTCCTGGAGTCGAGTCACAACGTAAGTTTCAAGGCGTCTGTGGTCCGGGTCCCCATCCGTTGCCCACCTTCATGAAGGAGGACTACTGGTCGAAGGGGCTGATGTATCGGCGCTACCGTGACAGATTACCGTCATCAGTGCCGTGACCACAGAGACGATTTATATTTTATATTTAGCTCATTATTTATTTATATCATTATCATTCATATGTATTTTGGATTACAAGGTGTCTGGGCCATTAAAACGTAACTTAAAATAATTAAAAAAAATCTTAGTATAGATTTATATATATATTTATATTTAATATTTTAATTATATTCTTTGGGAAGGGAGCGAGGTTATTTGTGATGGTCCCATTGCTAGCAATATGTAACATGCCTGATCGACTTCCACGTGGTAACTCCTGTAAAATATTATGTGTAATTCCTTGTGTATTCGTACGCAACCTATGATCTTACACTGGTAACCAACGAAGTCAATTTGTTGATGATAATCAAACGACAGGAAAGCAAAACATGATTATGTGAAACCATAATACATAAACAGATAAATAGACAGTTTTCGCATCGTCACTATTTCATTATATGTTAAGAATAAAGATGTCAACCCTTTAATCCCAAATATCAAAACTGTATTGTAGTACTCAACGAGTCACCCTAACCTTATCCCGGGGCGGGGCAGATCCCACCAATCAGCGCTCAGAGCGCGCGCCGCACCCTCTCCCCGACCAATCACAGCGCGTCAATTAGGGATCAAAAGATTACGCGTTTGGGGTCACTTTGCACAGATTGTCGTGTTGTTATAACTAGTGCAGCGACACGAGGGTTTGTCTGATACCTTTTTAAGGAAAAGCGATGAAAATATTTTCTTAACGTAATCTTGATCATGAGGTGTTTGAACGTAACGTCTTTTTTAAATGATTAATACTGATTATTATTGACAAACTCTATGGCGCAGTGGTAATTTCCTAAATGGTCAAAGGTTTCATATTCGACCATAATTACTAAGACCAGGTGGCCCCAAATTAATTGTTATTACTTTTATTATTTATCTGCAATTGCCACATTATTACATTTCAGGCCCCATTATTATATTCACATGCCCTAGGTTTAGGTTAACTTGGTTAACGTTGCTAACAGACCAGTATTCATGCTCATCGTCATTTCATCGATCGTCCTCTACTGACAGCATATAACATATGGGTGCACAGATGGGTGCACCATCCTCGAGGAACAAAATAATAATTAATAAAGAATACAAAATGCGATCAAGTAACACTACTAGTGCGTTGTCATTCCAGAAGTCAACCGTAGGTAACCACCATATGACATTGATACTACAGGGTATCAATGTCATATCTCACCCTACAACCGAAACAACTTCATATTACATCGGACATGTCTGTCCGATGTAATTTGATGATTTTATACAAAGTCTACTACGGTAAAAATACATGAAAGGTAGTAATTTATAGTTTATATAGAAAACGATATTGAAATGTAGGTATAAATTTATACCTACATTTCAAGATCTTCTTTTATTGTGGTACCTATATAAAAATTCCCTCTTGAAAATATTACTTTCACATGACTTCAAATTGTAATTCAAGTAAGGCATATGAATTCATATGAAAGTAATACTTTCAAAGTATGCTGTCTTCAATAAGTTGTGTCACTTAATGATGCGCTAAGCACCAACCCACTTCACAATAATGAGCGCGTGACTTATCACCAGTTCGCGGACGAGCCGAGTTGTGTAAACACGATGATATGAGTTATAGGGGCGTGAGATTTTTTCTTTCTACTCAATTGGATGTATAGGTATACTAAACTGGACGATAGGGAAAAAATGAAACTGTATACTGGACGATAGGGAAAAAATGAGACTGTATACTGGACGATAGGGAAAAAATGAGACTGTATACTGGACGATAGGGAAAAAATGAGACTGTATACTGGACGATAGGGAAAAACGTATTAATAACCCGCGACTTCGTCCGCGTGGAATTTAACTTTATTTTTATAAAATAAAATCGGTCCCGTCAAAATCGGTTTAACCATTTCAGAGATTAACCGGAACAAACAGACAAAAATTATAAAAAAAAATATTTTGATGTATGTA